AGTTGGAACGAATGGAACAAATGAAAAGTGCCATACAAGTTCAGATTACTGAGATAGAAATGAAGATTGACGGAACACAGAAATCAAAGGTTCAGATGGATCAGATGAAATCTGAAATAGAGCAGGAAAAAAATGAGTTGGAGAGAAAAAAGGATGACATCAAGAAGCAAAAAGACCAATTTGAGAAGATTAAACTTGACATACAGCAAGTGAAGTTGGAAATGGAGCAAAGGTGGCATGAAACAGAAAAAGAAGGGCTGGAACATAGAGCCATAATCCAAAGAGAGAAAGATGAGCTGAAATACCTGCAAGACGAGGTTCAAAGAGCAAGAGAAGAGGCTGAAAGAAACAGAGAGTTTTCAAAACAAGAAAATGATAGAATAAACCAGCTGAGAGCTCAAGCACTTATAGAAAACAATCTCATTGAAAAGAAATGGCAGGACGTCTTAAGAAAAGAAAAAGATCTGGAAGAGCTGAAACATGAAATTGAGAGAGGCAGAGAGGAGTTGGCAATGAATGGAGACCTGGTCAAAAAGGAGTGGGAAAAGATCGAACAGACCAAAGCGGACATGCAAAGTCAAATGGTGTCTATGGAGAACAGAGTTGAGGAAGTAAAAAGAGAAACTGAGAGGCTGAAACATATGAAAACAGAGATTCGGAGGGACAAAGATATTATAGAAAAACAGAGGGATGAAACATGGAAAGCTAAAGAAGAAATGGAGAAGAAGAGGTATGAGTTATTGACAGAGGAGATAGAGCACAGAGCTCGACTGCAGAGGGACAGAGATGAGCTGGTGAGTGTAAGAGTAGAGATACAAAGAGCTAATGATATGGAGAAAGCAAAGATACTGAAAGAGAAGGAAGAAAGTGTTAAGATAAGAGAAGAGGCTAGACAAGAAAGAGAAATGGCAGAACTGATCAAAGCAGAGACCAAGGCCGAAAAAGACAGCTTGAACCGAAGACAAGAGGAAATGCTGAGAGAGAGACAAGATCTAGAGAGAATTAAACATGAAACGGTCAGGGCCAAAGAAGAGATCGAGAACAGTCAAGAGGTCACAATCCGGGAAAATGAGAAAATGGAAAAAATGAAAGCTGAAATTCAAGGGCAAATTGAAGATATTGAGAAGAAGGTTGAGGAGATCCAAAAAAATAAAGAAAAAATGGAGGAAACAAAGGCTGAGTTGGAGGAAGAGCAGGAGGAGCTGGAAAGAAAGAGAGATTTGGTGAGAAGAGAGACCGAACAGTGCGAGTTCCTCAGAAGTGAAATTCTCAGGGTAAAGGAAGAAATGGAGAGCAGGTGGCATGAAACTGAGACAGAGGAAGTCGAACTCAGAGCAAAAACTCAGGATGAGCTGGAAAGACTGGAAAAACTGAGGGACGAGGTCCAGAGATCCCAGAAAAACATTGAGGACAGCAAGATGGAGCTCATGCAGTGGAGGTACAGTCTTGACAAAATTAAGGTTCAGGCAGAGGAAGACAAACATGCCGCCATCAAACAGATGGATGAGGCTAAAGCAAAGGGAGAAGAGTTGAGAAAAACAATAGAACAGATGGAGAAAGAGCGAGAAGAGATTAATAACAGCAGAGAAAAGGCTAAACAAGAAGCAGATGAAATCAAAAGCATGATGAATGAGCTACAAAGACAACAGGCAGAAATAGAGAATAGGATTAGAGACGCAAAAAAAGAAAAAGAGGATGCAAACCATGCCAAACTTGCAGTCCAAGAGGCTGAGATACTCCTAAAAAAGCAAATGGAAGAGTCAGAAAAGAGACGGTATGAAAACATAACAGAGGCGCTGGAGCAAAGAGATGAAATACATAAGAAAACAGAGGAGTTAGAACAAATAAAAGAAGAGATACAAATAGCCAGACGTGAGCTAGAAAAGATGAAGCATTCTGAAAAAGATATGCTACAGAAGATGTTGGAGGATACACAGCAAGAGAGAGAGTTCATTGAGCAAATGGGAACAGCTGTGCTTAAGGACAAGGAAGATCAGGAAAAGCGTTTAGTTAATGAGAGAGAGGAGCTTGAACAGATTCAATTTCAGGTCCAGAATGAGAAGAAAGATCTAGAAAAACTAAGGTATGAGATGATGAGATATAATGTAGAAGTGCAGAGACAAAAAGAAGACCTTGAAAAGATCAAAACTCAGCTAGTTATTGACACAGAGGCCATGAACAGAAGCAGAGAGTTAGCGAGGCAAGATAGAGAGAAAGCTGAACATTATATGCTTGAGATCCAAAAACAAAGAGAGGATGTGAATAAAAGGTTAGAAGAGACAAAAAGACGAGAGGATGCCGTGAGGCAGATGAGGGAGGACATGAAACACGAGAGAGAGGATCTGGAGAAGATTCGCATAGAAGCACTGAGAGGGAATGACGCGTATGGAGAGGTCAAGGAGGAGATTAACAGAGTGAGAGCGGAGATGGAAAGGTTGTGGGATGAGGCTGAAAAGGGAGAGCAGGAAGAACGTGAGAAGATGAACAGGGAGAAGGAGGAGATAATGAGGAAGATGGAAGCTATGAAGAAGGAGATTGGTGAGATTGAACACATGAAGGTGGAGTTAACGAAACATAAGAAGGACATCGATATAAAGATTGGAAAGGCAAGGTCAGAAATGACTAAACTTGAAAAGATGAAAGCAGACCTCCAGAGACAGAAAGAAGATATTGAGAATCAGATGATGAAAGCAAAGAGTGAAAGATACCAGATGGAACTGATGAGGACTGAGATCTTGAAACAAAAAGAGGATGTTGAAAAGAAAATGGAGCTAGCAAAAGCAGAGATGGACAAAATGCAGCATGTCAAAAATGAAATAAAAAGACAAAAAGAAGAGTTGGAGGAAAGGATGCAGAAAACTAAACGAGAGACTGGAGAAATGGAGCTGATGAAGAGAGAAATGGAAGGGAAGAAGAAAGAACTTGACCAAAGGATGAAATTGACCATGAGGAAGAAGGGTGAGATGGAACAATTGAAGATGGAGATACAAAGGGCTAAAGATGAGATGGAATGGAAAAGAATGGAGACGGAGAGACAGAAGAACGAAATGGAGCAAGTTAAAGTTGAAATCCAAAGAGCGAGGGAGGAGTTGGAACAAAGGCTTGAGGAGAGAGATTTAGAAGAAGAGAAAGGACAGATGAATCTCACAATAATCAACGTTATTCAGCAGATCGAGGCAACGAGAGAAATGGTGCGCAGAACGAAGTTCCAGATTGAAAACCGAATGGCAGAATGTCAGATGGAGACAGCAGACCAAGAGGTGATGAATGCTGAGATGCAGAGGCTCATTCTGGAGATCGAACACATTCGAGAAATGCTGCAAGGTCTTAAGAGTGAGGTGGAACACAACAAGGACATTATGAAAAGAGACAGGAATGAGATGAAGCTGTCGAGGAACGAAGTTCAACGAAAGAGAAGAGAGATGGAACACAGAGAAGAAAAGATTATGAGAGAACGAGATGAACTAGAACTCATGAAAAATTTGATGCAGCAGCAAAAAAAGGAGCTGGAGGAGAGGCTTGAGGATACCATTAAAGAGAATGATAAGGTTGAGCAGATGAGAGAACATGTGAAAAATGCTTTGGATGATATAGAACAGGCAAAGGAAGAGATACAGAGACAGAAAGAACTCATTGCTCAAGAAACGACAAGCAAAGAAAAGGTAAGGTCATAATTTACATACATTTGTCAAATGCTTTATAATATTATCTGTATTATCAATATTGTCAGCAGCAACTGGACTCTCAAAGTCAACATGAAGCATTTGTAACCCATTTTAGTTCCATAATGTAACAACATGTTGTTAAATGGGACAATCGTGAGTTAAAAGAGTAATAAAAAGAATAAAAAGGGGACATTTTTATTTCACGTTGACTTCAAAACAAGTTCGAGGAACATTTAAGAACATTTCTTTCCCCATATGAAATACAAGGGACTTTACATTTAATTTTACCAAAATATTGTGACAAATATTTTGAACTGTACCTAGCATAACTGTATACTGTGTATCTAAAGAATATTGTAAAAAAGATGCAAATGCAAACAAGGAGCTTTTATTCCAGGTTCAACAAGTCATCGTTGCAACTGAGAGCCCAGAGTGTTCAAAAACAGAAGACCCAGCTTCCATTGAAACATTTATAACAGAAGACTTTGAAGTTAGTTTAAGTGAAATTCAGAAAGAAAGACAAAAACTAGAACATTATAAAGAAATCATTTTAAAAGAGAAAGAGGAACTAATGAAGGCAAAAGAGGATATGCAAACAATGAAACATGAAGCAGAAGAGAGGATGTCCAGACTGCAAGAGAAGGAAAAAGAGATGGAAAATAAAACAGTGAGTCTAGAGAATAGGGAAAAACTGCTGCAATCAGAGAGAGAAGAGAACCAAAGAGGTTTAGATACAATATGTAAAGAGAAGCAGCAGCTGAATAAACGAAAACAAGAACTGGACAATATGGAAATAAATCTACAAGGACAGAAAAATGAATTGGAAATAACAAGAATGCTGGAGATTCAACACATTGATGTTCAAGTTCAAACTAATGTGATGGATGACACAATAAAATATGAGAAATATGAGCTGGACAAAGAGCGGCAAGCACAAGAATATTTCGAAGAAGACTTCCTTGCACAAACAAGTACAATGGAGAGACAACTGACAGAAATAAAATTGAGCAAAGCCACAATGCAAACTACGACGAAAACCACAGCAGACATGGAGTTACAATTAGAGCTGCAAAAACAGGAGCTGGAAAGAACAAAATATGAGCTGGAAAAGGCAAAGCTAGAATTACAGAATGGATGGGGCGACCTGCAGGCTGAGCTATCAGAAAGCAGAGAAAAAGAAGACATGATAAGAACAGAATTAGAAAAAGCAAGAGATGTCCTTAATCACATTAGACAGGATGTAGAAATACAAAAGCAAACAATGGAGGCTGATCTAAAAGACACTTTTGCTAGAGAACTAGAGGACATGGAAGCTCAAAGAAAAATGATAGAGGATGAAAAGAGAACATTACAGAGCATGAAGTTTGAGCTGCAAAGAGAATCTGCAGATATTGAGAGGGTAAAACAGGACGTGCAGGAAGAAAGACAGAATATTACACTGACCAAGGAGGAGCTGGAAAAAGAGCGACAAGCTCTGGAGTATTTCAAAGAAGACATACTTGCACAAAAAAGTACAATAGAGAGACAACTGGTGGAAATAAACCTGAGCGAGGATGAACTTTCGCTCAAAGAAACCTCGTTGCAAACTGCAACAAGATCCACAGCAGACACTGAGTTACAATTAGAGGTGCAAAAACAGGAGCTGGAAAAAACTAAATATGAGCTGGAAAAGGCAAAGCTAGAAATACAGAAAGGATGGGATGACCTGCAGGCTGAACTATCAGAAAGCAGAGAAAAAGAAGACATGATAAGAACAGAATTAGAAAAAGCGAGAGATGTCCTTAATCACATTAGACATGATATAGAAATACAAAAGCAAACGATGGAGGCTGATCTAAAAGACACCTTTGCTAGAGAACTAGAGGACATAGAAGCTCAAAGAAAAATGATTGAGGATGAAAAGAGAACATTACAGAGCATGAAGTTTGAGCTGCAAAGAGAATCTGCCAAAATTGAAAGAGTAAAACAGGACATGCAGGAAGAAAGACAGAATATTACACTGACTAAGGAGGAGATGGAAAAAGAGCGACAAGCTCTGGAGTATTTCAAAGAAGACATACTTGCACAAAAAGGTACAATAGAGAGACAACTGGTGGAAATAAAACTGAGTGAGGATGAACTTTCGCTCAAAGAAACCTCACTGCAAACTGCAACAAGAACCACAGCAGACATTGAGATACAATTAGAGCTGCAAAAACAGGAGCTGGAAAAAACAAAAGATGAGCTGGAAAAGGCAAAGCTAGAAATACAGAAAGGATGGGATGACCTGCAGGCTGAACTATCAGAAAGCAGAGAAAAAGAAGACATGATAAGAACAGAATTAAAAAAAGCGAGAGATGTCCTTAATCACATTGGACAGGATATAGAAAAACAAAAGCAAACGAGGGAGGCTGATCTAAAAGACACTTTTGCTAGAGAACTAGAGGACATAGAAGCTCAAAGAAAAATGATAGAGGATGAAAAGAGAACATTACAGAGCATGAAATTTGAGCTGCAAAGAGAATCTGCCAAAATTGAGAGAGTAAAACAGGACATGCAGGAAGAAAGACAGAATATTACACTGACCAAGGAGGAGATGGAAAAAGAGCGACAAGCTCTGGAGTATTTCAAAGAAGAAACACTTGCACAAAAAAGTACAATAGAGAGACAACTGGTGGAAATAAAACTGAGCGAGGATGAACTTTCGCTCAAAGAAACCTCACTGCAAACTGCAACGAGAACCACAGCAGACATTGAGTTACAATTAGAGCTGCAAAAACAGGAGCTGGAAAAAACAAAAGATGAGCTGGAAAAGGCAAAGCTAGAAATACAGAAAGGATGGGATGACCTGCAGGCTGAACTATCAGAAAGCAGAGAAAAAGAAGATATGATAAGAACAGAATTAGAAAAAGCAAGAGATGTCCTTAATCACATTAGACAGGATATAGAAAAACAAAAGCAAACGATGGAGGTTGATCTAAAAGACACTTTTGCTAGAGAACTAGAGGACATAGAAGCTCAAAGAAAAATGATAGAGGATGAAAAGAGAACAATACAGAGCATGAAGTTTGAGCTGCAAAAAAAATCTGCCGATATTGAGAGGGTCAAACAGGACGTGCAAGAAGAAAGACAGAATATGGATAAATTGACAGCACAGCTTAAAAAAGACAGGGAGGAACTAGAAAAGAAAATGAGTGACATGCAACAAATACAAGCAGAGTTAGCGGGAGAAAAGAAAGCTCTAGAAATTCTGAGAGAGGAGAATGAGCTGACATTGAAGGAGATCAAAGTGGAGAGATACACTCTTGAGAGGATAAATGAACTTGTTTCTCAACAAAAAGATGATATAGAGAAAAGAGAAACCGAACTGCAGCAAATGCAGGATGACTTTAACAGACAACAAAAAGATATGCAGGAAATCCAGAATATAGTTTTCATGCAAAAAAGTCAACTTCAGAAAAGCCAAGATGAAATAGAAGAAAAGCTAAAACAGGTGGATGATGTCATGCAGTTCACACAAAATGAAAAAGACAATCTTGACAGAGAGAGGGTGGCTATAATGGAACAGAAGCAGCAGATGGAGAGCAACATGACAAATGCATTAAACAGGGAACTTGAAGTGGTAGCGCTTGTAAAAGAAGAGGTAGTAAATGAGAAGCGACTTATTGAGGACTGCAGAATTACTTTAATGAGAGCTACAGAAGATCTAGAGCAAAAGAAAATCGATTTGGAAAGACAGAGGGAGGAAATAAAACTGCAAAGGCTGGGTATTGCAGGCGAACAACACAAGTTGGAACAGATTAAATCGGTGCTGCAAACAGTAGCTGGAGATACTGAGAAGCTAAGACAAGATACATTAGCTGAAAGACGGACACTTAAAGACACTACAGCACAACTCCAGAAAGAAAGAGATGCCATTGCTAGTCTTGCAGAGGAGACAAAAAGAAAGAGAGAGGACCTGGATCAAATGCAAGCTGATCAGGAAAAAAACGTTGAGATATTGAAGGACATGAAGGCTGATCTGCAAAAAGAAGCAGGTGCCATTGAAAATCTAAGACAAGCTGTTCAAAATGACATAGAAAATGTAAAAGACATGAAAGCTCAAATTCAAAAAGAAAGACAATGCACTGATAGTCTAGTTGAAGAGATTGAAAAAAGGTCAAAAGCTCTGGATGAGATGCAAATGGAGATTGAAAAAGAGAAGCAAGAGGTTGATTCTGAGAGAGACGCACTAGAACATGAAAAGTCTAGGCTCAGAGATCTCAAAGACGAATTTGATCAGCAAAAAGAACAGGACATTACAAGACTGGAAAATCTTAAGAAGATGAGTGAAACCACCTCAAAAGAAAGGTGCATTGTGGAAAGTGATAAAGAATATTTAAGACTCAGAGAAAATGAACTAAATCAAAAAGAAGCAGAGATTGAATACAAACAAAAACAAATGGACGAGTTGAAGAGCAATTTAAGGATGGAAAAGGTGCAAGTTGAGCAGATACAAGCTGAACAAGAACAACAATGGGAAGTTTCACAAGGAAAAATTGAATATGTAAAGACTGCAAGAAATAGAGAAATGACAGATTTGGATGAAGCGAGACAGGAAATAGAGAATTTGCGAGAAGAATTGAGGAAAACCAATGAAAATGTTGAGCTCCAAAATAAAAAATTAACCGAACAAAAGGAATTATTCGAATGCCACATGAAATCTTTGGAAATTGATAAGGAAGACATGGAAAAAGATAAAGCAAAACTACAAAACGAATTTGAGGACTTTCAGTTTAAGAGGCAGTGCTTTGAGAAAGAGATACAGCAAGAGAAAGCTGAGCTTCAGAGAGAAGCTGAAAATATCCAGAGAATGAAGAAAGAGGTTATGGATGAAAAACAGAGTATAAAAGATATGGCAGACCGAATTCAACATGAGGGAAATGACAGGAGAGAAACTCTGGAGAGGATGTCCCTTGAGCTAGAAAAACAAAAGCAAACCACAGAGACCGAAAAAGATATGATAGAAAAGCAGAAGTCAGAAGTGGAGAAGAGCAAAACAGAGATAGCTAGAGCCAAAGAAGATCTTGCTGAAATGAGAAAAAAGAACAATATTGATATGTCAGAGATCGATATGCAGAGAAATTCTCTTGAGCAAATGAAGATGAACATCTCACAAGAGGAACATGAAATTAAAAAACAGAAAGACAGTTTAAGACACCAGGAAAATGAACTGATTAAACGTATGACAAAATTGTATGCACAACAGAAAGAAACAGAAGAGATTCAGGACATTATCATCAAAGAGAAGAGTCAGCTCAATGAAAGAAAGGCTGAAATGGAAAAGCAAAAGCGAGAATTAGATGATGTGCTGGACACACTCAAGAAAGAGAGGACTGAGATAATGGTGGAAAGACTAAGAGTGAATGACATGCATACTGAACTTAAGAGAGAAAGTGAATCAGTGGAACTGATGAAACAAAAAGTTCTCAGAGAAAAAGAATCTATTGAAAACAGAATGAAAATACTGAACATAGATCTAGAGGATATGAAAGAAAAGAGAACCATCTTAGCTGAGGAATTTAAGACCTTAAACGATCATAAACAAACGATTGGCAAAGAAAAGAAGGAATTGGATATGATGAAAGCTGAGCTCCAACAAGAAACTGAAAATATTGCAAATCTAAGGCAGAACACTGAGGAAATGGCAATCAAACTTCAAAAAGAAAAGGAGGATATAGAGACTTCTGTTGCCAGGATCAGAGAAGAGGAAGCAAGTCTAAGAAAAGAAAAACAAACATTTAAATCTGATAGAGACACTTTCAGAAAGGAAAAGTTTGACCTGGAGAAAACTAAGACAGAGATAAACAGAGCCAAGGAAGATCTTGAGAACCAACTTGAATCTCAGAAAAGACTAAATAAGATAGCATTGGCTGAGATACAGAAAGAGAAGGATGTTCTTGAGCACTTGAGAATGAACATATCAAAAGATAGAGATGATCTAGAAAATGAGAGGGATGACATTAAGAGGGAAAGAGCTGAAAAAATGAATCAAAAACAGCAAGTTGAGGTAAATTTGAGGGAAGAACTGAAAAACGAAAGTGAAAAGTTGGAGCTGCTAAGAAAGGAGGTGTATGATGAAAAGGAAGGAATTGACAACATCAGAAAAACGATAAAAACAGAAATGGATGATTTGGAACAAACAAAGCTTGATGTAGTTAAAGACTTGGAAAATTACAAACTTCAGAAACAAATGATTGAGGATGAGAAGGACAAAATTGAGCAGATGAAAGCTGAGCTAAAAAGAGAAGCTGAAAATATTGGAAGGATAAAGCTAGAGACAGAAAATGAAAGGCAAAAACTTGAGGAAGCAACAACCCAACTTAAGAAAGATAGAGACAATGTTGACATCCTTGCTAAGGAACTTAACAAGAAAAAAGTGGGTCTAGAAAACAGGGATCGGGAAATGGAAAGGCAAAGGAAAGCAATTGAGTCTAATAAACAGATGCAGGAAATGGCTTTGTTTGAGCTGAAGAAAACTGTGACAGATATAGCAACTGCGAAGGAGGATCTTGAAAACCAGCTTGCGGAAGAAAGAGAAAAGAACAAGATCGCACTTGCAGAAATACAGACAGAAAGAGACATGCTTATTCTACTGAGAGATAATATTTCAGTGCAACAGGATGACATTGTAAATGAGAAGGAACAAATGAGACTGAGAGGGATTGAACTTGAACAAATCCGAGCTCTGATTTACACACAGCAAGATGAAACGGAAGCTACAAGGAAAGCTCTCACAATGGAAAAAGATAGACTCGAAGAGAAGAAAATTGAAATAGATCAGAGACAGAGAAAAATAAATGAAATCATTGATTTTGCAACAGAAGAAAAGGCTAATCTTGAGAAAGAAAGGTCTGAAATTATAGCAAAAAAACAACAAATGGAGACCGAACTTGAGCTCGTTAAGGTAGAACTGAATAATGGAAAAGAATTAATCGAGAAACGGACCCAAATGTTGAAAATATATGAGGCTGACGTGGATGAAAAAAAAGAAGCTTTAGAGAGAGAGATAAAAGAGCTCAGATATCAAAAACAAGCTATTCAAGATGAGAAGAAGGATGTACAACAAATGAAGATAGAGCTGCAAATAGAAGCCAATGCCATCAAAAAGATAAAAGAAGAAACACAAAATGAAAGACAGGGTTTGGAAAAAATGGCCGAAGAACTTCAGAAAGACAGAAATGATATTATTCATCTTGCTGAAGATATAAGGAGAAAGAATGAGCTCATGGATGAAATAAGAATTGCAAATGAGTCTACACTGGCAAATCTACAAAGAGAGAAAAACAATCTTGAGCAAAAGAGAGTAAAAATCTCCAAACAAACAGATGATATTGAAAAAGAAAAAGAGAAACTAAGACTTAAACAAGATGAACTAGAGCGACTGCAAGAAGAGTTTCATAAGCAAAAAAGTGAAATAGAAAAAGAAAAGAGAGACATTGATGGTGAAAGAGCTGCAATGCTCAGGGAAAAACAGGACATGATGACAGAACTGAAAAAGAAGACTGAAGATATTGAGATCCAAATGAAGGCAGTATTGACTGAAAAGGAACTATTGGATAATGACAGGCAACTGCTGAAGAGAGACATGGAAGATCTGCAACAAAAAATAATGAATGTAGATAGAGATTCAGAGAGTCTGAAACTTGAGAGAGAATCTTTTGAGAATGAAAAAGAATCAATGAAACAGATGAAAACTGATCTGCAACGAGAAACACATGAGATTGAGAAGATCAAACTAGAGACACAAGATGGAAAACAAAGACTGGAGGCATTGACCGCTCAACTCCAGAAAGAGAGAGACACCCTCGATGAGATGAATGAGAACATCAAAAGACAAATGCATGACATTAAACATCAACAAGACCAAATCAGACAAAAACAACATGAATTAGAGCAGATGCAAACTGAAATTCAGAATCTGAAAAAGGAAATAGACAATGACAGACATATTATAATGAAGGACAAAAGTCAGCTTGACCTGAGACAATCTGAGCTTGACAAACAACAGACACAAGTGAATGAGTTTATGGAAATAATGAGGAATGAGAGAAGACAACTAGATGAAGATAAAGAAGATATGGAAGAACAGAAACAACAAATGGACAAAAGAAGAGAAGATGTAGACCAAAGAAGAAATAATTTGGATGAAGACTTGAAGATGCTGATACTTCAGAAACAAGTGTATGAAGATGAGAAGAACAAGTTAGAACAGATGAAGATTGAGCTGCAAAGAGAAGCTGATGAAATCAGAAAGCTAAAAGAAGAAACAGACAATGACAGAGAGGGTTTGGAAAAGATGGCTGAAATACTTCAAAAAGAGAGAGAAGATATTGTTCATCTTGCTGAAGATACAAAGATGAAGAATGAGATCATGGATGAAATGAAAGTTGCAAATGAGTCTACACTGGCAGATATACAAAGAGAGAAATACAGTCTTGAGCAAATGAGAGTGAACATCTCCAAACAAAGAGATGATATTGAAAGAGAAAAAGAGAAAATAAGACTCAAACAAGATGAACTAGAGCGACTGCAAGAAGAGTTTCATAAACAACAAAGTGAAATGGAAAAGGAAAAGAGAGACATTGATGGTAAAAGAGCTGCAATGATCAGGGAAAAACAGGACATGATGACGGAACTGAAAAAGAAGTCTGAAGATATTGAGATCCAAATGAAGGCAGTATTGACTGAAAAGGAACTATTGGATAATGACAGGCAACTGCTGAAGAGTGATATGGAAGATCTGCAACAAAAAATATTGAATGTAGATAGAGATTCAGAGAGTCTGAAATTTGAGAGAGAATCTTTTGTGAATGAAAAAGATTCAATGAAACAGATGAAAACTGACCTGCAACGAGAAGCACATGAGATTGAGAAGATCAAACTAGAGACACAAGATGGAAAACAAAGACTGGAGGCATTGACCGCTCAACTCCAGAAAGAGAGAGACACCCTAGATGAGATGAATGAGAACATCACAAGACAAATGCATGACATTAAACATCAACAAGACCAAATCAGACAAAAACAACATGAATTAGAGCAGATGCAAACTGAAATTCAGAATCTGAAAAAGGAAATAGACAATGACAGACATATTATAATGAAGGACAAAAGTCAGTTTGACCTGAGACAATCTGAGCTTGACAAACAACAGACACAAGTGAATGAGTTTATGGAAATAATGAGGAATGAGAGAAGACAACTAGATAAAGATAAAGAAGATATGGAAGAACAGAAACGGCAAATGGACAAAGGAAGAGAAGATGTAGACCAAAGAAGAAATAATTTGGATGGAGACTTGAAGATGCTGATACTTCAGAAACAAGTGTATGAAGATGAGAAGAACAAGTTAGAACAGATGAAGATTGAGCTGCAAAGAGACGCTGATGAAATCAGAAAGCTAAAAGAAGAAACAGACAATGACAGAGAGGGTTTGGAAAAGATGGCTGAAATACTTCAAAAAGAGAGAGAAGATATTGTTCATCTTGCTGAAGATACAAAGATAAAGAATGAGATCATGGATGAAATGAAAGTTGCAAATGAGTCTACACTGGCAGATCTACAAAGAGAAAAATACAGTCTTGAGCAAATGAGAGTGAACATCTCCAAACAAAGAGATGATATTGAAAGAGAAAAAGAGATAATAAGACTCAAACAAGATGAACTAGAGCGACTGCAAGAAGAGTTTCATAAACAACAAAGTGATATGGAAAAGGAAAAGAGAGACATTGATGGTGAAAGAGCTGCAATGATCAGGGAAAAACAAGACATGATGACGGAACTGAAAAAGAAGTCTGAAGATATTGAGATCCAAATGAAGGCAGTATTGACTGAAAAGGAACTATTGGATAATGACAGGCAACTGCTGAAGAGTGATATGGAAGATCTGCAACACAAAATAATGAATGTAGATAAAGATTCAGAGAGTCTGAAATTTGAGAGAGAATCTTTTGTGAATGAAAAAGATTCAATGAAACAGATGAAAACTGACCTGCAACGAGAAGCACATGAGATTGAGAAGATCAAACTAGAGACACAAGATGGAAAACAAAGACTGGAGGAAATGACCGCTCAACTCCAGAAAGAGAAAGACACCCTAGATGAGATGAATGACAACATCACAAGACAAATGCATGACATTAAAAATCAAAAGGAACAAATCAGACAAAAACAACATGAATTCGAGCAGATGCAAACTGAAATTCAGAATCTGAAACTGGAAATGGACAATGACAGACATATTATAATGAAGGACAGAAGTCAGCTTGACCTAAGACAATCTGAGCTTGACAAACAGCAGACACAAGTGAATGAGTTTATGGAAATAATGAGAAATGAGAGAAGACAACTAGATAAAGATAAAGAAGAGATGGAAGAACAGAAACGGCAAATGGACAAAGGAAGAGAAGATGTAGACCAAAGTAGAAAGAATTTGGATGAAGACTTGAAGATGCTGATACTTCAGAAACAAGTGTATGAAGATGAGAAGAACAAGTTAGAACAGATGAAGATTGAGCAGCAAAGAGAAGCTGATGAAATCAAAAAGCTAAAAGAAGAAACAGAAAATGATAGAGAGGCTTTGGAAAAGATGGCTGAAGTGCTTCAGAAAGAGAGAGAAGATATTGTTAATCTCTCTGAAGATATAAGGAGAAAGAATGAGATCGTGGATGAAATGAAAGTTGCAAATGAGTCTACACTGGGAGATCTACAAAGAGAGAAATACAGTCTTGAGCAAATGAGAGTGAACATCTCCAAACAAACTGATGATATTGAAAAAGAAAAAGAGAAAATAAGACTCAAACAAGATGAACTAGAGCGACTGCAAGAAGAGTTTCATAAACAACAAAGTGAAATGGAAATAGAAAAGAGCAACATTGATGGTGAAAGAGCTGCAATGATCAGGGGAAAACAGGACATGATGACAGAACTGATAAAGAAGTCTGAAGATATTGAGAGGCAAATGAAGGCAATATTGACTGAAAAGGAACTATTGGATAATGACAGGCAACTGCTGAAGAGAGACATGAAAGATCTGCAACAAAGAATGATGAATGCAGATAGAGATTCAGAGAGTCTGAAAGTTGAGAGAGAATCTTTTGAGAATGAAAAAGAATCAATGAAAGAAATGAAAACTGACCTGGAACGAGAAGCACATGAGATTGAAAAGATCAAACTAGAGACACGAGATGGAAAACAAAGACTGGAGGAAATGACCGCTCAACTCCAGAAAGAGAAAGACACCCTAGATGAGATGAATGAGAACATCACAAGACAAATACATGACATTAAACATCAAAATGAACAAATCAGACAAAAACAACACAAATTTGAGCAGATGCAAACTGAAATTCAGAATCTGAAACAGGAAATAGACAATGACAGACATATTATAATGAAGGACCGAAGTCAGCTTGCCCTAAGACAATCTGAGCTTGACAAACAACAGACACAAGTGAGTGAGTTTATGGAAATAATGAGGAATGAGAGAAGACAACTAGATAAAGATAAAGAAGAGATGGAAGAAGAGAAACGGCAAATGGAAAAAGAAAGATGTAATGTAGACCAAAGCAGAAAGAATTTGGATGAAGACTTAAAGATAATGATACTTCAGAAACAAGTGTATGAAGATGAGAAGAACACATTAGAACAGATGAAGATTGAGCTGCAAAGAGAAGCTGATGAAATAAGAAATCTAAAAGAAGAAACAGACAATGATAGAGAGGGTTTGGAAAAGATGGCTGAAGTGCTTCAGAACGAGAGAGAAGATATTGTTAATCTCTCTGAAGATATAAGGAGAAAGAATGAGATCATGGATGAAATGAAAGCTGCAAATGAGTCTACACTGGCAGATCTACAAAGAGAGAAATACAGTCTTGAGCAAATGAGAGTGAACATTTCCAAACAAACAGATGATATTGAAAAAGAAAAAGAGAAAATAAGACTCAAACAAGATGAACTAGAGCAACTGCAAGCAGAGATTCTTAAACAACAAAGTAAAATTGAAGAGGAAAAGAGAGACATTGATGGTGAAAGAGCTGCAGTGATCAGGGAAAAACAGGATATGATGACGGAACTGAAAAAGAAGTCTGAAGATATTGAGATCCAAATGAAGGCAGTATTGACTGAAAAGGAATTACTGGAAAATGACAGACAACTGCTGAAGAGAGACATGGAAGATCTGCAACAAAAATGTATGAATGCCGATAAAAAGCAAGCAAATGAATTTGAATTGGCGAAGTCTGATTTAGAGAAGATCAAAACAGAAATTGCTAAAGCCAACAAAAATCTTGCAGAACAGCAGGAAAAAAATGAGATTACAATAGCAGAGATGCAGAGAGAGAAGGATACTCTTGAAGAAATGAGGGAGAACATCTCAAAACAAGCGAAGACCATTGAAAATGAGAATGAAAGTCTTTCTCACAGAGAAAGTGAATTTGCGCAGCTGCAGGAAGTCATGTTAAAACAGCAGCATGAAATGGATGAAATGAAGAACAACATCGTGTTGGAAATGAGTCAACTGGACCAGAGACAAAATGACATTGATCAATTACAGCAAGAGGTTGATGATCTAATGGAATTCACAAAGACAGAAATGACCAACCTAGAAAGAGAAAGAGTGGAAATGATGGGACAGAAGAGAAACATAGAGAGGGATATGGTCAGTCTAAAGACAGAGAAAGAGACATATGAACAACTGAGACTCAAGTTACTTGAGGAAAAAGATCTGGTTGAAAAAGACAGAGAGCAGTTGAACAAAGATTTGGATCAAATGGAGAGACAGAAAATGGATATGGAGAGAGAGTTAAAGAATCTCAAATTTGAGAAACAAACCATTGAATGTAAGAAAGAAGAACTAGAGAAGATGACAACAATCGATCTTCAAAGTCAAGGTGAAGACTTGGATAAAATATCTGAGAAGACAAACATTGAAAGAGAGAGGGAGAAGGATATTGCTGTCAAATATAAAATACAATCAGACACCAGTGCTCTCCCTACAGACAACCAACTGATGAAAGAGCTCTTGGATGAGACAGAGAAGCAAAGAAAAGAAATTCAGTCTGCCAAAGACTTGCTTCAAGAAGAAAGATTTGAACTGGAGAAAACCAAAACAGAGATAAGCCAAGCCAGAGAAGAACTAGATAGACAAAGAACAGACTTAAAGAGAGAGAAAGACATTCTTAAGCAGGTGAATATAGATAACTTGAGACAAATATCCCATATTGAAGATGAGAAGGAAATAATACAACAGAAAAAGAATGAACTAGATCAAATGAGAGCAGAACTGCAAAATAAACAAAATGAAATGGATGACATGAAAAACAAAATGAAAAAAGAAAATGCTGATATGGAGAATCTGAAACAAAAGAGAACTGAGTTGGATAGAGACCTCCAAATTCAAAGAAAAGCTTTTGAAAATAAGCAAGATGAGCTGCAAAAGAAGAGAGAGGAAATTGAGAAGTTAAAGTTAGAAGTTCAGAAAGAAGAGCAGAGGGCTGCAGAAGAATTAGAAAACGAGAGGCAACAATTTGCAGAGGAGACCAAAATGAAAACTGACACCCTGGATGAAATGCAAGCTGACATAGAGAGACAGAAACAATCTGCTGATGTAGAGAAAGAGATGATTACGAAGGAAAGGATGGATCTTAAGAAAGCCCAGGAAGATTTCAAAAGACAATCCGAGGAGAGTGAGATCACACGGGCAGACCTGCAGAAAGAGAGAGAAAGTCTTGATGTAATGAGGATGGATATCTTAAAACAAAAACATGACCTAGAGAGAGAAAGAGATGAACTGTTAGAGCAACAGTGCCTGTTGGAGACACAAAAGAAGGACATCAAAAATGTGGAACAGCTAAGCCAAGAGCTTTTAGATGAAAAGGCATTGACTGAGAAAATCAGAAAGCAGCTGATCCAAGACATTGATGATATGGAACAAAATAAATCAAATCTACATAAAGAATTAGAGGAGATCAAATTCCAAAAACAAGATATTCAAGATGAAAGAGCTCAACTAGAACAAATGAAAGCTGAGTTCCAAATGAAAGTGGAGGATATGGAAAATTCAATGCAAGAGATACTGAGTGAAAGAGAAAAATTTGTACAGAAAAAGTCTGAAGAGAGCAAAATAAGAACAGACCTTGATAAAGCAAATACTGAGATACAGAGACAAAAGGAAGAGTTGGAAAGTTATGCTGATAATCTAGAAAAATATAGACTTAAACTAGATGAAGCAAGGGCTGAAATAGAGAGTATTAAAGAGGATGTTGAAAAACAGGCAACAAAACGGATTGAGGAATGTTTGCAAAAAGAAAGATACAATATTGAGGATATAAGAAGGAACCTGCTTAAAAAGGAAGAGGTCATTGAACAGGACAAGACAAAAATAAGACTGGGATACCAAGAAATAGAGCTCATCCAAGCTGAATTAGTGAAACAGAAAGAAGAGATGATTGAAAAGATTGGTAAATCAGAACAAGAAATACAAGAACAGAGAAATAAACTACAGATGACAGAAGAGGAATGGAGTGTACGAATGGTAAAGTTGCAAGACGAGATAAACAAAAACAATGTCATTAAATCAGAGTTAGCGAAAGAAAGAGAAGCAATTGATGAAATGTTAAGAGAGCTTAAGAGAGAAATGGAGAAATATGAAAAGATCAAATCAAATATTTTAATCCAAAAAGAAGAGTTTGAGACTAAAAGGCAGTCAGATTTAGAGGAACTCAGGAATATGAGATCTGAAATGCTCAAGCAGAAAGAGGAATTAGAGGACAAGATGCAAAAGACTAAACATGAGATGGAAGAACTGAAGCTTCTTCAGAATGAAACTGATAGCAAGAGGAAAGATCTTGATCACAAGATGAGACAGGTAGCAAGAAAAAGAGATGAGTTGGAGAAAATTAGGACTGACATTGAAGGTGCAAATGAGAAACTCGAAATGGACAGGGTCATTTTAAGTATAGAGCGGGAGCAAATGAAAGCTGAGATACAAAGAGCAGAGGATGAACTACAATCTCATATGGAAGAAAGAGGTGGATATATAGAAGAGAGAGATCATATGAACACCAAGATTCAGATGCTTATTCAAGAAGCTGAACATACTAGGGAAATGGCTTGGAGAACAAAACATGACCTGGAAAGAAGCATGCAGAGAGATGTTAATGTTGAAGCAGATTCAGAGGATAGAAAAGAAATGAATGCTTACATGCAAAGGCTGATCCATGAAATTGAGCATATTAGAGAGGTTCTCAGAAGAATGAAAGATGAAATCAAGGCTGCTAGAAAAGAAAGATTTGAACTGGAGAACTTGAGGCTGGAAATCGAGGCCATGAAAAAGAGCATGAAAGAAACTTGTGAGCAGCAGAACATTGAGATACAAAAAGAGAAACAGCAAATAAAGAGTACCAAAGACTGCATGAGCAAAGAGAGAAGTGATCTTGAGCAAATAAGAGCTGATTTGGAAAGGCAAAAACAAGACATGGCATTGGCCAAGCAAAAACTTCATGATGAAAATGAACTGCTGGAGAAAGAAAAGGTTGACATGAAGAAAAAATCAGAGATGCTTGAAAGAATTTTAGAGGAGACCAGTAAGAAAGAAAGGAATGAAGAAAGATTCAGAAGAATTAAGAGAGAAAATGGAAACATTAAGTATGGATGACCAACAAGAAGAGAGGGAGAGTCAGACGGGCGAAGTTAAAAGACAAATAGACAAACTGACAGAGTTGAAAGCTGAGGTTCATCAACAGCAGGCAGAACTTGAGAAAACTAAAGCAGACTTAAAATATCAGATGGATGAGCTAGAAAAAATGAGGACTGAGATATTAAAACTTGAAAAGGACACTGAGAGTAAAACAAAAGAGGCTGAGCTGATGGATATACAGCAACAGAAAGAAAACCTTGAGAAAAAGATTCAGAAAATGACACGTGAAAAGGGAGAACTGGAAGTCCTAAGGTCTGAGATAGTCCTGGAAAAGAAAGATCTGGATCAGAAGATGAAACAAGTTATCAGAAAGAGGGATGATATAGAGAAAATGAAGACTGAGATAGCAAAGGCCAGAGAGGAGATCAACAGAGAGAGGCAAGAGCTGGAAATTCTCAGGAATGATGTTCAAAGTGCAAGAGAAGATTTTGAACGATTGGTGGAGAGAACTGCACATCTACAAGATGAAGAAAATGCCAATGCTGACATCCAAAGATTGATTTTAGAGGTCGTGAAAATCAGGGAAATGGTGAGAAATCTGAAGATTTACATGGACAGCAGGATGGATGAAAGTAATGCAGAGAAAGATGATAAGGAAAACTTAAAGTCTGAGATCCAGAGGGTCATTCAAGATATTGGACAAATCCGGGAAAATCTAGGAAGCCTTAGAGCAGAGATAGAAACCACCAGAAGAGACAAGAATGGCCTTGAGAAGATGAGGGCACAACTTGTAGAGAAGCAACAAGAGGAAGAAAGCATGAGAAAAATGCTGCAGAAAGAAAGGGAAGAACTGGAGCAGTTGAAGGATGAGATCAAAAGAGAAAAGGAGGATGTGGAGACCAAGAGAGAGCTGGTTGAGGCAGAAATGGCTATGGACACAAGGGAGAACAAGCAAGAACTTGAAAGGGTCAATGAGGAACTCTTGAGAAACCATAGTCATCTGGAACAGCTCAACAGAGATATACAAAACCTGAGGCAAACCATGGAAGAAATGAAAACAATGCATGACAAGAAAAAGTCTGAACTAGAAGGCATTACTTCTGAGATAAAGAGGAGACAGCAGATACTGGAGAAACAAAAACATGAAATGGAGGAGAAGGGTTGGATCCTTGAAGAGATAGAGAAGAAGAAAGACACACTTGAAAAGATCAATATGCAAATTCTGAGAAAGAGAGACAATTTGGAAAAAGAAAAGGACAATTTAAGACAAGAGAAGCAAGAGTTTGAGCTCTTGAGAGGGGAACTACAAAGACAGAGAGATGATTATGAGTCCTCAAGACAAGCTTTGATCATGGAGAAGGATCAGTTAGAAGACGAAAAAGCTGAAATCAATCAACAAAAGCATGAAATGAGTGCTGCCATGAAGGCCAATAAGATAGAACTGGAAAATCTAGAAAATTTGAGGAATGAACTAGAAAATCAGAGGGCTAAGTTAGTCGAAAACCTCAATGATGCCACGAAAATGGAAGATAAACTACAAGAGATGATGAGTGAATTAAACAAAGAAAAAGAGCAAGTGGAAGAAATGAAGCAGATGGTCAACAAAGAGAGAGATTTGATTGAACAAGAGAAAGAAGATGTTAGAAAACAGACTCATCAGCTTAGCGATGGCCGTGCTGAGCTTCAGAAGAAGTCAGAGATCTCCGACCGGCTGATTCAGGAGGCAAATCGTGAGAGAGATAGATTAACAGACCTCAGTCTAAAACTTCAAATGCAAAAAGAAGATATAGAGAAAACCATCACAGAAATGGAGGCCGTGAAGAAAGATCTCAATATAATGAGTGCAGAAGTTCTAGATGACAAGACACAACTGAAAAATGACAGGGATGATTATGAAATGGAAAAGACACATTTGCAGCTTAAGATCGAAGAGTTAGCGAGAGAAACAGAGGACCTGGAAAGAAAAACCTTACAGCAGAGAGAACAAGATGAGATAGCAAAACAAGAGATTCAAAGTCAGAGAGAGGCTCTAGAGCAAATTAAGATGGATGTTCTAAAGGAAAGGGATGAGATTGACAAAGAGAAGGAAAATATACATTCAGAAAGACAGAAACTGGTTACACTTCAAAGAGAATTGCAAAGAAAGGAAAGTGAGCTTGAAAACAAAGAAATCTTGGAGGTTAAAAGCAATTTGGAAAAGAAGGAGGCAGAAATTGAAGAGGAGAGACTGCAGTTAGTGGAAATGGGTGAAACAATGAAGAGAGAACACAATGAATACAGAAGGATGATTGCAGAAGTACAGAAAGAAAAAGAGCAGATTGAAATCAGCAAAACGTGGATGGATCAAGAGAAGAAAGATCTTGAAAACATGAAAAGTGATCTGGAGAAGCAATTACAAAATTTAAAAGTTGAAAAATTACATGTACAAGATGAGAAGAATGCACTAGAACAGATAAGGACAGAATCTGAGGAGATCCAAAATGTTATCAAAAAGGAGAGAGAGGACCAGGAAAAATGTTGGATGGAGATTGAGGGAGAAAAGCAACGAGTGGAGGAAGAAATCCGACAATTAAAGAGACAGAGGGAAGAAACTGATAAACTCCACAGTGAGTTACAAAACAATAGAGAGGACATTGAAAGTAGCAAAGACAAGATTGATAAAGAAATGGAAGAATTATTGCAAACGAGGGTTGAGCTGGAAAAGAAAAAAGAAGAAATAGACAAGGATAATCAAAATCTTCAAGACGCTAAATTTGACCTTGAAAAGACTAAAGCTGAGATACAGAGACAGACAGACAAAATGAAAGACATAATAGAAATGAAAATACAAATAGATAAAGACAGAGAAGAAATTAAATGTTTGTCTAAAGAGACTGAAATAAAAATGAGGGACCTTGATATGATGATGAAGGAGATGGAGAGACAAAGGCAAGAAATTGAGAAAACAAAAGCCATTCTTGAAAAGGATAAGACACAAATTGACAAAGAAAAGAAAGACCTGGAAAAACAAATGGTGGGTCAGATTGAGGAGATTCAAAACGAGAGACTGGCCCTTGAGGAGATAAAGCATGAACTTCTTCGTGAAAAACAAGAAACAGAGGAAGAAAAGAATAACTTAATAACTCTAAGAAACAAACTAGAAGTTTTAAGAGCAGAGATAAAGAACCAGCAGGATGAAAATGAGATTGTGAAAAAGAAGCTTCTTTTGGAAAAATCAAACACCGAGGAACGACAGGCCGAAGTGCTCAACCAGCAGCTACAGAATGATCAAACCAAGGAGGAAAACAAGAAAGAGGGAGAAAATATAGAACAACAGAGGTTTGAACTTGAACAGCAGAAACAGACGTTGGTGCTTAGAAACTTAAAAATGATGGAGGAAACGCAAGAAATGGAAAACAGAAAATACATGACTAACAAAGAAAGAGATAAGGTTGATCAAATGCAAGCTGAGATACAAACTCAGATTCAGTCAATTGAACTACAAAGGCAAATCCTCCAAGACAAGCAAAAAACTCTTGAGGAAAAAGAGGTAATAATACAGAGGAAGGGAGAGGAAGTAGAGAGGAGAAACATGGAATTAGACGGAATTGCTGGTCAGCTTCAGATTGAACAAGAACATTTAGATAATGTTCGCGAGGAAACCAATAAGAGACAACATGCCCTTGACGTGATGCAGGTTGACATAGAATTGCATAAACAGAAAAATAATAAGGACTTTGAGTTTCTTGAGAAGATCCGACATGAAATAGAAAAAGAAAAGTTAGAAATGAAGCAGAAAAAAGATGATCTGCAGATCTGGACTGAACAACAGAAAGAAGAGGTTGAATCCCAATTAGAAGAGCTAGAGAAAGAGAGAGAAAAAATGAAACAGATTCAAAGAGAGCTTCACACTGAGAGAGAACAAACTATGAAATGGAAAGCTGATATAAGTAGGAAAAATGATGAAATAGAGACCATGAGACAAACAGTTATCATGGAGAAGATTGAACTGGAGCAGAAAGATACATATATTACTGAGCAGCAGCAAAGACTGGATCAAAGTATAAGAGAGATGAAGGAAGAAAGACGTGAAATGGATAAGATAAGGATTGAACTAGAAGCTCAGAGACAACAAATGGAAGAGGACATGAGGATAAAAGCAAAACAGGAAAGAGAACTTGCACAACTGAGAGATGAAATACAAAGCGAAAAACAAGACATTGGTGAAAACAGGAACATGACTAACAAATTAATGGAAGATCTGGAAATCATGAAAGCCAAGCTGGTGGAACAAGAAGAAGAGATCCAAACTGAAGCAGAAAAATTGCAGGTGGAGAGAAGACTGGTTTCCAAGACAAAATCTGAGGTGCAGAATGACACTGAAAATCTGACGAACATCTTAGAAGAGATCAGAAGGGAGCGAGAAAAACTGGACATAAAGGAGGCCCACCTTAAACTAATGAAGGAGCAGTGTGACAATATCATGGAAGAAACTAAGAGGAAGAAGAGTGCACTGGAAAAGGCTGTTGATGACATAGCAGAGCAAAATCAAAAGATTGAGATCAAGAAAGATCTTCTAGAAAAAGAGACACTGAAACAGAAAAAAGACATTGAAACAGAAAGAGAAGATTTACAAAGACAAGCAGATGAACTGAAACTGCAAATGACAAAACACAGAGAAAAGGAAGACATTAATAAAAGATCAATGGATGATTTCCTGAGCCAGAGAGATGAATTAGAGAAAGAAAAAGAGGACATGATGAAGAAGTGGAAAAAACTGGAGGTTCTTCAGAAGGGAATACAAAAACAAAAAGATGAAATGGAATCAATGCAAAATGAGTTACAGAATGAAAATATTAAAATGAATCAACACCAGCAGAAAGTAGAAGGGAGTTTAAGGGCCATGAATGAGGAGAAGAAAGATCTGGAGAAAACGAGGAATGATTTTGAAACACAAATGGAACAGATGAGAGTAAAAGCAAAGATAGAGAGAGAAGAACTTAATCAGATACAGGCTAAACTGGAAATTAAGAAAACAGAAATAGAAAATGAACAGAAAAAAATGGATGATGATTGGAAGATGATTGGACAGGAAAGAAAGGACCTGGATAAAATGAGGACTGAAATAATGACACAAAGACATCAAATGGAAGACGACATGAGAGAAGCAATCCAACTAGAGAGATCAGCACTTGACCTGAAAATACAAGAGATTGATCTAGAAAAGGACACAATTGAAAAGAACACAGAAATAATTCAAAGATTAATGGATGAGGTGGAGGAACAGAGACATGATATTGCAATCCAGAAAGAAGAGCTTGAACTTGAGAAACAAAAGATCACAGATGAAAAATATATTCTGGCTGAAAGAAAGAATGAACTGCAAAATGAAATTGAAAGAATCAGATATATGGAAGAGGAAATAAAGAAGGAAAGAGAAAAACTTAAGGAAATGGAAGCTAATCTACAAAAGGACAAAGATTTAATTGAAAGTGTCATTGAAGAAACAAAGAGACAAAAAGAGGATCTGGAAAAGATGAGCACGGACATAAATGAACAAAAACAAGAGTTGAAGAACTCCAGTGACCTTCTAGAACAAGAAAGAGGAGACATTGCAAATAAATGGACACAATTACAGCAGAGAATTGATGAATTTGAGGATCAAGTCAGAAAACAGAAGGAAGAGGATATAACAGAACAGAAGAAGATAGAGAAAGAAAGAAAAAGTCTAGAAAAATCCAAAGCTGAGATCTTAGAGGTGAAGACTAAAGCTGAGCAGGAACATCATGACATAAACCTAAAAACACAAGAGTTAAACATATTGAAAGAACAGATTTTGAAAGAAAAGGAGAAAGAAGAAGAAATAATAGTACAAGCAAAGATGGAGAGAGAAGAACTTGATGAGATCAAGAGTGAAATGGAGAGAGAGAAAACTGAAATAGATAATGAGCAGAAGAAAATGGATGATGACAGGAAGATGATTGAACAGGAAAGAAAGGACCTGGAGAAGATGAGGACGGACATAACTGAACAAAAACAAGAGTTGAAGAACTCCAGTGACCTTCTAGAACAAGAAAGAGGAGACATTAAAAATAAATCGACACAATTACAGAAGAGAATTGATGAATTTGATGCACAAGTCAGAAAACAGAAGGAAGAGGATATAACAGAACAGATGAAGCTGGAAGAAGAAAGAAAAAGTCTAGAAAAATCCAAAGCCGAGATCCTAGAGGTGAAGACTAAAGCTGAGCAGGAACATCGTGACATAAACCTAAAAGCACAAGAGTTAAACATATTGAAAGAACAGATTTTGAAAGAAAAAGAGAAAGAAGAAATACTAGTAAAAGCAAAGGTGGAGAGGGGAGAACTTGATCAGATAAAGAGTGAATTGGAGAAAGAGAAAACTGAAATAGACCATGAGCAGAAGAAAATGGATGATGAAAGGAAGATGATTGAACAGGAAAGAAAGGACCTGGAGAAGATGAGGACTGAAATAATGACACAAAGACAGCAAATGGAAGAAGACATGAGAGAGGAAATCCAACTAGAGAGATCAGCACTTGACCAGAAAATACAAGAGATTGATCTAGAAAAGGACACAATTGAAAAGAACAAAGAAATAATTCAAAGATTAATGGATGAGGTGGAGGAGCAGAGACATAATATTTCAATCCAGAAAGAAGAGCTTGAACTTGAGAAACAAAAGATCACAGATGAAAAAGATATTCTGGCTGAAAGAAAGAATGAACTGCAAAATGAAATTGAAAGAATCAGATATATGGAAGAGGAAATAAAGAAGGAAAGAGAAAAACTGAAGGAAATGGAAGCTCATCTACAAATGGACAAAGATTTAATTGAAAGTGTCATTGAAGAAACAAAGAGACAAAAAGAGGATCTGGAAAAGATGAGCACGGACATAAATAAACAAAAACAAGAGTTGAAGAACTCCAGTGACCTTCTAGAACAAGAAAGAGGAGACATTAAAAATAAATGGACACAATTACAGCAGAGAACTGATGAATTTGAGGATCAAGTCAGAAAGAAGAAGGAAGAGGATATGAAAGAACAGAAGAAGATGGAAGAAGAAAGAAAAAGTCTAGAAACATCCAAAGCTGAGATCCAGGAGTTAAAGACTAAAGCTGAGCAGGAACATCATGATATAAACCTAAAAACACAAGAGTTAAACACACTGCAAGGACAGATTATGAAAGAAAAAGAGAAACAAGAAGAAATGAGAGTAAAAGCAAAGATTGACAGAGAAGAACTTGATCAGATAAAGAGTGAACTCGAGAAAGATAAAACTGAAATAGATAATAAGCAGAACAAAATGGATGATGGCAGGAAGATGATTGAACAGGAAAGAAAGGACCTGGAGAAGATGAGGACTGAAATAATGACACAAAGACAGCAAATGGAAGAAGACATGAGAGAAGCAATCCAACTAGAGAGATCAGCACTTGACCAGAAAATACAAGAGATTGATCTAGAAAAAGACACAATTGAAAAGAACAAAGAAATGATTCAAAGATTAATGGATGAGGTGGAGGAACAGAGACATGATATTGCAATCCAGAAAGAAGAGCTTGAACTTGAGAAACAAAAGATCACAGATGAAAAAGATATTCTGGCTGAAAGAAAGACTGATCTGCAAAATGAAGTTGATCAAATCAGATATATGGAAGAGGAAATAAAGAAGGAGAGAGAAAAACTGAAGGAAATGGAAGCTCATCTACACAAGGACAAAGATTTAATTGAAAGTGTCATTGAAGAAACAAAGAGACAAAAAGAGGATCTGGAAAAAACAAGAACAAACATAAATATACAAGAAGAAGAGCTGAGGAAAAACAGAGACCTTCTAGAACAGGAAAGAGAAGAAATGAATAATAAATGGACACAATTACAGCAGAGAATTGATGAATCCGATGCTCAAGTCAGAAAACTGAAGGAAGATCATATAACAGAACAGATGAAGATGGACGAAGAAAGAAAAAGTCTAGAAAAATCCAAAGCTGAGATCCAGGAGTTAAAGACTAAAGCTGAGCAAGAACATCATGATATAAACCTAAAAGCACAAGAGTTAAAAATATTGAAACAACAGATTTTGAAAGAAAAAGAGAAAGAAGAAATAACAGTAAAAGCAAAGATTGAGAGAGAAGAACTTGATCAGATAAAGAGTGAATTGGAGAGAGAGAAAACTGAAATAGATAATGAGCAGAAAAAATTGGATGATGACAGGAAGATGATTGAACTGGAAAGAAGGGACCTGGACAGGATGAGGACTGAAATAATGACACAAAGACATCAAATGAAAGAAGACATGACAGAGGCAATCCAACTGGAGAGATCAGCACTTGACCAGAAAACACAAGAGATTGATCTAGAAAAAGACACAATTGAAAAGAACAAAGAAATGATTCAAAAAATTATGGATGAGGTGGAGGAACAGAGACATGATATTGCAATCCAGAAAGAAGAGCTTGAACTTGAGAAACAAAAGATCACAGATGAAAATGATATTTTGGATGAAAGAAAGACTGAACTGCACAATGAAGTTGAAAGAATCAGATATATGGAACAGGAAATAAAGAACGAAATGGAAAAACTGAAGGAAATGGAAGCTCATCTACAAAAGGACAAAGATTTAATTGAAAGTGTCATTGAAGAAACAAAGAGACAAAAAGAGGATCTGGAAAAGATGAGAACGGACATAAATGAACAAAAACAAGAGTTGAAGAACTCCAGTGACCTTCTAGAACAAGAAAGAGGAGACATTAAAAATAAATGGACAAAATTACAGCAGAGAGTTGATGAATTTGAGGATCAAGTCAGAAAACAGAAGGAAGAGGATATAATAGAACAGAAGAAGATGGATGAAGAAAGAAGAAGTCTAGAAAAGACCAAAGCTGAAATCCAGGAGTTAAAGACTAAAGCTGAGCAGGAACATCATGATATAAACCTAAAATCACAAGAGTTAAACATATTAAAAGAACAGATTTTGAAAGAAAAAGAGAAAGAAGAAATAAAAGTAAAAGCAAAGATCGAGAGAGAAGAACTTGATCTGATAAAGAGTGACCTGGAGAGAGAGAAAACTGAAATAGACCATGAGCAGAAGAAAATGGACGATGACAGGAAGATGATTGAACAGGAAAGAAAGGACCTGGAGAAGATGAGGACTGAAATAATGACACAAAGACATCAAATGGAAGAAGAAATGACAGAGGCAATCCAACTGGAGAGATCAGCACTTGACCAGAAAATACAAGAAATTGATCTAGAAAAGGACACAATTGAAAAGAACCAAGAAATAATTCAAAGATTAATGGATGAGATGGAGGAACAGAGACATGATATTGCAATCCAGAAAGAAGAGCTTGAACTTGAGAAACAAAAGATCACAGATGAAAAAGATATTATGGCTGAAAGAAAGAATGAACTGCAAAATGAAATTGAAAGAATCAGATCTATGGAAGAGGAAATAAAGAATGAAAGAGAAAAACTGACGGAAATGGAAGCTCATCTACAAAAGGACAAAGAATTAATTGAAAGTGTCATTGAAGAAACAAAGAGACAAAAAGAGGACCTGGAGAAGATGAGGACGGACATAAATAAACAAAAACAACAGTTGAAGAACTCCAGTGACCTTCTAGAACAAGAAAGAGGAGACATTAAAAATAAATGGACTCAATTACAGCAGAGAACTGATGAATTTGAGGATCAAGTCAGAAAAAAGAAGGAAGAGGATATAACAGAACAAATGAAGATGGAAGAAGAAAGAAAAAGTCTAGAAAAATCCAAAGCTGAGATCCAGGAGTTAAAGACTAAAGCTGAGCAGGAACATCATGACATAAACCTAAAAACACAAGAGTTAAACACACTGCAAGGACAGATTATGAAAGAAAAAGAGAAACAAGAAGAAATGAGAGTAAAAGCAAAGATGGACAGAGAAGAACTTGATCAGATAAAGAGTGAACTTGAGATAGATAAAACTGAAATAGATAATAAGCAGAAGAAAATGGATGATGGCAAGAAGATGATTGAACAGGAAAGAAAGGACCTGGAGAAGATGAGGACTGAAATAATGACAAAAAGACAGCAAATGGAAGAAGACATGAGAGAAGCAATCCAACTAGAGAGATCAGCACTTGACCAGAAAATACAAGAGATTGATCTAGAAAAGGACAAAAATGAAAAGAACAAAGAAATGATTCAAAGATTAATGGATGAGGTGGAGGAACAGAGACATGATATTGCAATCCAGACAGAAGAGCTTGAACTTGAGAAACAAAAGATCACAGATGAAAAAGATATTCTGGCTGAAAGAAAGACTGAACTGCAAAATGAAGTTGATCAAATCAGATATATGGAAGAGGAAATAAAGAAGGAGAGAGACAAACTGAAGGAAATGGAAGCTCATCTACACAAGGACAAAGATTTAATTGAAAGTGTCATTGAAGAAACAAAGAGACAAAAAGAGGATCTGGAAAAAACAAGAACAAACATAAATATACAAGAAGAAGAGCTGAGGAAAAACAGAGACCTTCTAGAACAGGAAAGAGAAGAAATGAATAATAAATGGACACAATTACAGCAGAGAATTGATGAATCCGATGCTCAAGTCAGAAAACTGAAGGAAGATCATATAACAGAACAGATGAAGATGGACGAAGAAAGAAAAAGTCTAGAAAAATCCAAAGCTGAGATTCAGGAGTTAAAGACTAAAGCTGAGCAGGAACATCATGATATAAACCTAAAAGCACAAGAGTTAAACATATTGAAACAACAGATTTTGAAAGAAAAAGAGAAAGAAGAAATAACAGTAAAAGCAAAGATTGAGAGAGAAGAACTTGATCAGATAAAGAGTGAATTGGAGAGAGAGAAAACTAAAATAGATAATGAGCAGAAAAATATGGATGATGACAGGAAGATGATTGAACAGGAAAGAAGGGACCTGGAGAAGATGAGGATTGAAATAATGACACAAAGACAGCAAATGGAAGAAGACATGACAGAGGCAATCCAACTAGAGAGATCAGCACTTGACCAGAAAATACAAGAGATTGATCTAGAAAAGGACACAATTGAAAAGAACAAAGAAATGATTCAAAGATTAATGGATGAGGTGGAGGAACAGAGACATGATATTGCAATCCAGAAAGAAGAGCTTGAACTTGAGAAACAAAAGATCACAGATGAAAAAGATATTATGGCTGAAAGAAAGAATGAACTGCAAAATGAAATTGAAAGAATCAGATCTATGGAAGAGGAAATAAAGAATGAAAGAGAAAAACTGAAGGAAATGGAAGCTCATCTACAAAAGGACAAAGAATTAATTGAAAGTGTCATTGAAGAAACAAAGAGACAAAAAGAGGACCTGGAAAAGATGAGGACGGACATAAATAAACAAAAACAACAGTTGAAGAACTCCAGTGACCTTCTAGAACAAGAAAGAGGAGACATTAAAAATAAATGGACTCAATTACAGCAGAGAACTGATGAATTTGAGGATCAAGTCAGAAAAAAGAAGGAAGAGGATATAACAGAACAAATGAAGATGGAAGAAGAAAGAAAAAGTCTAGAAAAATCCAAAGCTGAGATCCAGGAGTTAAAGACTAAAGCTGAGCAGGAACATCATGACATAAACCTAAAAACACAAGAGTTAAACACACTGCAAGGACAGATTATGAAAGAAAAAGAGAAACAAAAAGAAATGAGAGTAAAAGCAAAGATGGACAGAGAAGAACTTGATCAGATAAAGAGTGAACTTGAGATAGATAAAACTGAAATAGATAATAAGCAGAAGAAAATGGATGATGGCAAGAAGATGATTGAACAGGAAAAAAGGACCTGGAGAAGATGAGGACTGAAATAATGACACAAAGACAGCAAATGGAAGAAGACATGAGAGAAGCAATCCAACTAGAGAGATCAGCACTTGACCAGAAAATACAAGAGATTGATCTAGAAAAGGACAAAAATGAAAAGAACAAAGAAATGATTCAAAGATTAATGGATGAGGTGGAGGAACAGAGACATGATATTGCAATCCAGAAAGAAGAGCTTGAACTTGAGAAACAAAAGATCACAGATGAAAAAGATATTCTGGCTGAAAGAAAGACTGAACTGCAAAATGAAGTTGATCAAATCAGATATATGGAAGAGGAAATAAAGAAGGAGAGAGAAAAACTGAAGGAAATGGAAGCTCATCTACACAAGGACAAAGATTTAATTGAAAGTGTCATTGAAGAAACAAAGAGACAAAAAGAGGATCTGGAAAAAACAAGAACAAACATAAATATACAAGAAGAAGAGCTGAGGAAAAACAGAGACCTTCTAGAACAGGAAAGAGAAGAAATGAATAATAAATGGACACAATTACAGCAGAGAATTGATGAATCCGATGCTCAAGTCAGAAAACTGAAGGAAGATCATATAACAGAACAGATGAAGATGGACGAAGAAAGAAAAAGTCTAGAAAAATCCAAAGCTGAGATCCAGGAGTTAAAGACTAAAGCTGAGCAAGAACATCATGATATAACCCTTAAAACACAAGAGTTAAACATATTGAAACAACAGATTTTGAAAGAAAAAGAGAAAGAAGAAATAACAGTAAAAGCAAAGATTGAGAGAGAAGAACTTGATCAGATAAAGAGTGAATTGGAGAGAGAGAAAACTAAAATAGATAATGAGCAGAAAAATATGGATGATGACAGGAAGATGATTGAACAGGAAAGAAAGGACCTGGAGAAGATGAGGATTGAAATAATGACACAAAGACAGCAAATGGAAGAAGACATGAGAGAAGCAATCCAACTAGAGAGATCAGCACTTGACCAGAAAACACAAGAGATTGATCTGGAAAAAGACACAATTGAAAAGAACAAAGAAATGATTCAAAAAATAATGGATGAGGTGGAGGAACAGAGACATGATATTGCAATCCAGAAAGAAGAGCTTGAACTTGAGAAACAAAAGATCACAGATGAAAAAGATTTTCTGGCTGAAAGAAAGACTGAATTGCAAAATGAAGTTGATCGAATCAGATATATGGAAGAGGAAATAAAGAATGAAAGAGAAACACTGAAGGAAATGGAAGCTCATCTACAAAAGGATAAAGAATTAATTGAAAGTGTCATTGAAGAAACAAAGAGACAAAAAGAGGATCTGGAAAAGATGAGCATGGACATAAATGAACAAAAACAAGAGTTGAAGAAATCCAGTGACCTTCTAGAACAAGAAAGAGGAGACATTAAAAATAAATGGACACAATTACAGCAGAGAACTGATGAATTTGAGGATCAAGTCAGAAAACAGACGGAAGAGGATATAACAGAACAGATGAAGCTGGAAGAAGAAAGAAAAAGTCTAGAAAAATCCAAAGTTGAGATATTAGAGGTGAAGACTAAAGCTGAGCAGGAATATCATGATATAAACCTAAAAGCACAAGAGTTAAACACACTGCAAGGACAGATTATGAATGAAAAAGAGAAAGAAGAAGAAATGAGAGTAAAAGCAAAGATCGACAGAGAGGAACTTGATCAGATAAAGAGTGGACTGGAGAGAGAGAAAATTGAAATAGACCATGAGCAGAAGAAAATGGATGATGAAAGGAAGATGATTGAACAGGAAAGAAACGACCTGGAGAAGATGAGGACTGAAATAATGACACAAAGACAGCAAACAGAAGAAGACATGAGAGAGGCAATCAAACTAGATAGATCAGCACTTGACCAGAAAATACAAGAGATTGACCTAGAAAAGGACACAATTGAAAAGAACAAAGAAATAATTCAAAGATTAATGGATGAGGTGGGGGAACAGAGACATGATATTGCAATCCAGAAAGAAGAAATCAGATATATAGAGGAGGAAATAAAGAAGGAAAGAGAAAATCTGAAGGAAATAGAAGCTCATCTACAAAAGGACAAAGATTTGATTGAAAGTGTCATTGAAGAAACAAAGAGACAAAAAGAGGATCTGGAAAAAATAAGAACGAACATAAATATTCAAGAAGAAGAGCTGAGAAAAAACAGAGACCTTCTAGAACAAGAAAGAGAAGAAATTAATAATAAATGGACACAATTACAGCAGAGAATTGATGAATTTGATGCTCAAGTCAGAAAACAGAAGGACGAGGATATAACAGAACAGAAGAAGATGGATGAAGAAAGAAAAAGTCTAGAAAAGACCAAAGCCGAGATCCTAGAGGTGAAGACTAAAGCTGAGCAGGAACATCATGATATAAACCTAAAAGCACAAGAGTTAAACATATTGAAAGAACAGATTTTGAAAGAAAAGAAGAAAGAAGAAGAAATAATAGTAAAAGCAAAGATGGAGAGAGAAGAACTTGATCAGATAAAGAGTGAACTGGAGAGAGAGAAAACTGAAATAGACCATGAGCAGAAGAAAATGGATGATGACAGGAAGATGATTGAACAGGAAAGAAAGGACCTGGAGAAGATGAGGACTGAAATAATGACACAAAGACAGCAAATGGAAGAAGACATGAGAGAAGCAATCCAACTAGAGAGATCAGCACTTGACCAGAAAATACAAGAGATTGATCTAGAAATGGACAAGATTGAAAAGAACAAAGAAATAATTAAAAAATTAATGGATGAGGTGGAGGAACAGAGACATGATATTTCAATCCAGAAAGAAGAGCTTGAACTTGAGAAACAAAAGATCACAGATGGAAAAGATATTCTGGCCGAAAGAAAGACTGAACTGCAAAATGAAGTTGATCGAATCAGATATATGGAAGAGGAAATAAAGAATGAAAGAGAAACACTGAAGGAAATGGAAGCTCATCTACAAAAGGACAAAGATTTAATTGAAAGTGTCATTGAAGAAACAAAGAGACAAAAAGAGGATCTGGAAAAGATGAGAATGGACATAAATGAACAAAAACAAGAGTTGAAGAACTCCAGTGACCTTCTAGAACAAGAAAGAGGAGACATTAAAAATAAATGGACACAATTACGGCAGAGAATTAATGAATTTGAGGATCAAGTCAGAAAACAGAAGGAAGAGGATATAACAGAACAGATGAAGATGGACGAAGAAAGAAAAAATCTAGAAAAGACCAAAGCCGAGATCCAGGAGTTAAAGACTAAAGCTGAGCAGGAACATCATGATATAAACCTAAAAGCACAAGAGTTAAACATATTGAAAGAACAGATTTTGAAAGAAAAAGAGAAAGAAGAAATACAAGTAAAAGCAAAGATGGAGAGAGAAGAACTTGATCAGATAAAGAGTGACCTGGAGAGAGAGAAAACTGAAATAGACCATGAGCAGAAGAAAATGGATGATGACAGGAAGATGATTGAACAGGAAAGAAAGGACCTGGATAAGATGAGGACTGAAATAATGACACAAAGACAGCAAATGGAAGAAGACATGAGAAAGGAAATCCAACTAGAGAGATCAGCACTTGACCAGAAAATACAAGAGATTGATCTAGAAAAGGACACAATTGAAAAGAACCAAGAAATAATTAAAAGATTAATGGATGAGGTGGAGGAACACAGACATGATAATGCAATCCAGAAAGAAGAAATCAGATATATGGAAGAGGAAATAAAAAAGGAAAGAGAAAAACTGAAGGAAATGGAAGCTCATATTCAAAAGGACAAAGAATTGATTGAAAGTGTCATTGAAGAAACAAAGAGACAAAAAGAGGATCTGGAAAAGATGAACACGGACATAAATGAACAAAAGCAAGAGTTGAAGAACTCCAGTGACCTTCTAGAACAAGAAAGTGGATACATTAAAAATGAATGGACACAACTACAGCAGAGAATTAATGAATTTGAGGATCAAGTCAGAAAACAGAAGGAAGAGGATATAACAGAACAGATGAAGATGGACGAAGAAAGAAAAAGTCTAGAAAAGACCAAAGCCGAGATCCAGGAGCTAAAGACTAAAGCTGAGCAGGAACACCATGACATAAACCTAAAAACACAAGAGTTAAACATATTGAAAGAACAGATTTTGAAAGAAAAAGAGAAAGAAGAAGAAGAAATGAGAGTAAAAGAAAAGATGGAGAGAGAAGAACTTGATCAGATAAAGATTGAACTGCAAAGAGAGAAAATTGAAATAGACCATGAGCAGAAGAAAATGGATGATGAAAGGAAGATGATTGAACAGGAAAGAAATGACTTGGAGAAGATGAGGACTGAAATAATGACACAAAGACAGCAAATGGAAGAAGACATGAGAGTGGAAATCCAACTAGAGAGATCAGCACTTGACCAGAAAATACAAGAGATTGACCTAGAAAAGGACAAAAATGAAAAGAACACAGAAATAATTCAAAAAATAATGAATGAGTTTGAGGAACAGAGATATGACATTGCAATCCAGAAAGAAGAGCTTGAACTTGAGAAACAAAAGATCACAGATGAAAAAGATATTCTGGCTGAAAGAAAGAATGAACTGCAAAATGAAGTTGAAAGAATCAGATCTATGGAAGAGGAAATAAAGAAGGAAAGGGAAAAACTGGAGGAAATGGAAGCTCATCTACTAAAGGACAAAGATTTAATTGAAAGTGTCATTGAAGAAACAAAGATACAAAAAGAGGATCTGGAAAAGATAAGCACAGACATTAATAAACAAAAAGAAGAGTTGAAGAGCTCCAGTGACCTTCTAGAACAAGAAAGAGGAGATATAAAAAATAAATGGACACAATTACAGCAGAGAATTGATGAATTTGAGGATCAAGTCAGAAAACAGAAGGAAGAGGATAAAACAGAACAGATGAAGATGGACGATGAAAGAAAAAGTCTAGAAAAGACCAAAGCCGAGATCCAGGAGTTAAAGACTAAAGCTGAGCAGGAACATCATGACATAAACCTAAAAACACAAGAGTTAAACATATTGAAAGAACAGATTTTAAAAGAAAAAGAGAAAGAAGAAATAAAAGTAAAAGCAAAGATGGAGAGAGAAGAACTTTATCAGATAAAGATTGAACTGGAAAGAGAGAAAATTGAAATAGACCACGAGCAGAAGAAAATGGATGACAGGAAGATGATTGAACAGGAAAGAAAGGACTTGGAGAAGATGAGGACTGAAATAATGACACAAAGACATCAAATGGAAGAAGACATGAGAGAAGCAATCCAACTAGAGAGATCAGCACTTGACCAGAAAATACAAGAAATTGATCTAGAAAAGGACAAAATTGAAAAGAACAAAGAAATAATTCAAAAATTAATGGATGAGGTGGAGGAACAGAGACATGATAATGCAATCCAGAAAGAAGAGCTTGAACTTGAGAAACAAAAGATCACAGATGAAAAAGATCTTCTGTATCAAAGAAAGACTGAACTGCAAAATGTAAGTGATCAAATCGGATACATGGAAGAGGAAATAAAGAGGGAGAGAGAAAAACTGAAGGAAGCTCGTCTACAAAAGAACAAAGAAGAAACTGAGAGTGTCATTGAAATGGAGAGACGAAAAGAAGATCTGGAAAAGATGAACACAGATTTAAATAAACAAAAACAAGAGTTGAAGTACTACAGAGGCCTTTTAGAACAAGAAAGAGAAGAAATAAATCATAAATGGACACAATTACAACAGAGAATTGATGAATTTGAGCAGTCAAAGACCGAGTCCATAAGGAACATTCTGGAGTTCAGCAGACAAGAAGAAGAAAAGAACAAAATGGAGAAACAACTTAAACAGGCCAACCAGGAATTTGAAAGTGTCATAGAAGAAACAAACAAGAGAAGGAATGAACTAGAACAAATTATGTTCGATATATCTCATTTAAATCAAGAGCTTGAGGCCAAGAAAGATCTTTTGGAGAAGGAGAGAAATAAAATCAAAAAGGAAAGAGATGAGATACAGAGACAAGCTGATGATCTGGAGATGCATATGACAAAACACAGAGAAAAAGAAGAGATGAGTAAAATATCAATGGATGATGAGAAGAAGCTTCTTGAGCAGAAAGCTGATGAAATTTTAAGACAGAAAGACGAACTGGAGAAAGAAAAAGAGGACATAATGAAGAAGTGGAATGAGCTGGATGTTCTTCAGAAGGAATTACAAAAACAAAGAGATGAAATAGAAGAAATCAAAAATGAGTTACAAACTGAAAATAAACGACAGCAGCACAGCCTAGAGATGAGTTTAAGAGCCATGAATAAGGAGAAGAAAGATCTGGAGAACATGAGGAATGAATCTGAAACACACAGACAACAAATGGAAGAGATGAGAGTAAAAACAAAGATGGAGAGAGAGGAACTTGATCAACTGATGTCCCAAATATTGATGGAACAAAATAAAACTGAAAGGAGCAAGGACATGATAGATAGTCTAAAGAAGGAAATGGAGCAAACAAAAGCCAAACTGAATGCTCAAGAGGAGGAAATCAAACTGGAAAAGCAAATAGTGCACAATGAGAGGAAATATCTAGAGCAGTTCAAGGCTGAAATCAAGAGACAGGCTGAAGAAATAAAGACCATAAAAGAGCAGACCCATCAACTACAAAAAGAGAAAGAAGCATCTGAAACATTAAAGGAGAAACGTTTACCCAAACAAGTTGCTCAACAGAAGTCAGAAGAAACAGTATCTCAAGGAAAACAGATACAAATAGATGAAGTCAACAGACTCTTGTTGGAGATTCAAAGGGAAAGAGAGGAACTTGAAAGAAACAAAAACATCTTGGAACTTCAGAGGGAGGCACTGGAACAGATGAAGAGTATACAACCAACACAGAGACGGGAAATCATTTCGATTAATTCTGCAACACAAACATCTGATCTAGATTACATACCTGTAGGTGACATTTCAACCCCTCAGGAAGAGATTGTTGAGGAACACACAGACATTCATAAGGAATATAGAGCTTTCATAACAAGAGAGAAGGAAGATCAACTCGATAGAATGAGAAATCAGGAAGACATGGAGCTCAAACTGAGAAATGAAGAAACCGAAATGGAGGCAACCCGAGAGGACACAACACTTACAAGTGAATATAAATATCTATCAGATCCATCCATGGTAGTAAAGTTGGAGTTCAGTAAAGGTGGAACCGATGGCCTTACTGAGATGCTGGAGACTGAAAGAAGCGAACTAGAAAAGACAAAACTTATTTTACAGAGAGACCAGAAAGAGATCAATGAAATGAGACAATACATTGAAAGAGAGAAGAAAGATCTAGAGAAAGATAGAGCCACACTTGAGAAACAATATGAAGAGATGGAGATATACAGACAGAATATGGAAAATGAAAGATCCGAGTTAGAAATGACTCAAGAAAAAATAGAGAAGGACATACAAAATATTCTAATGGAGACCAAGAGTAAACAGGAGAGAATAGAAAACATGGAAGTTCAACTTCAAGAAAAGAAGAGAGAAATGGAAACCATCTCAGATGAGATAAAACAGAGACAAGAGGAGTTGGACTTCATACATACAGAAATAAAAAGAAAGAGAGGTGACATGGGTGATGCCAAAGGAATGGAGGAACATGAGTTTTTTGGCATGCTTACAGAAAGAGAGGAGACTGTAAAAAGACACATGGAGGACATACAAAACCAAAAAGAGGCATTACAAAAGGAGAGGGATGAAGTAGAAAAAATACATGCTGGGCTGCAGAGAGAGAAAATGGAAATTGAGATGTGTCGGGCAATGTTGAACTCAGAAAGAAATGAGCTAAATAGAATGAGAGCCGATCTGGAGGCACAAAAAGAGGAGTTTGAGGGTATGCAACAAAACATAAAGACTGAAAAAGATGAGCTGGAATCAAGGTTAAGGAAAGCAGAGGACACAGAGAGCCTTTTGGAGGACATTCATAAAGAAAAGGAAAGTGTAGAAAAGATAGCAGCCCAACTTTACAAAGAACAAGAAGAGGTTCAAATTATTAGGAATGAAACAAATAAACGGATGGAGGAGATTAAACGGATAGAGGAGGAAATTAAAACAAAGCAAGTAGAAATGGAGCACATTGAAGAACTGAAACAAAAAGATGAACAAAAAAACATGAACGTGGGTGAAAATCAAGAGCTTCAGCTGGGAAGAGTAGAATTAGAAAAATTGAAGAATGAAATTGACATTGAAAGAGGAGAAATTCGGAAAATGCAAAAAGAGTATGAGAGAGAAAAACATCAACTGAAGCAAATCATAGCAGATTTGCAGAAAGAAAAAACACAGAAAACAGATGCAGAAGTGCAATATGATCAAACAGATGATGTTATGGACTCGTTGAAAAAAGAGAAAGAAGAAATAGAAAGGATGAAAGCTGACCTCCAGAATGAGCAGAGAGAAATTGAAACCATAAGGGACATTATTAAAAGAGAAAAGGGTGAGCTGGAACACAAGAAAGCTGAAATTCTGCAAATGACTGCAGAAATAATGGACACGGACCGTGACAGGAAATTACAAGATGAAATGATGAAGATTGAATCAACCCTTAAAGAAACCAAGAGACAGAAACATGACCTGGAACAGGTGAATGAGAATTTGATCAGGGAAAAAACAGAGATGGAAAGCAATTGTCAGATACTAGAAAGAGAAAAAACAAAACTGGAAACAAGATTACAGGATTTGGTGAATGAATTGAAGGAATTTGAAGCTCTTCAAAAGTCCCAGATGGAGGAGAGAGAGAAGAAAACTCTGGGGAACATTGGGGAAGCTTCAGAAAGGAAGTGGGATGAGAAGCAGGTAGCCACTGAATTGACCAAACATGATGAAGAGAACAGGCAAATCTTGAAAATTGAGAGAGAGGAGGTTGCACATCTGAAAGATCAATTACTGAAAGAGAAAGATGACGTTGAAACCACCAAAGAGAGAATTAACAGAGAGATGGAACATATTGAAAAGATGCAAACCCAGTTAGATGACCAAAAACAAGAAATAGAGCTTGAAAAACAAAAAATGGAAGACATAAGAACTGAGATTCAAGAGAAGACAAAAGCTCTCGAGAAAAGTATGGAGGACATACAAAAAGACAGGGAAAATATGAATGCTTTAGTAATTCAACAACAAAAAGAAAGAGAAGAGATGGATATACTAGCAGAAGAAAACAAAAGAAAAGAGGAGCATGCAGAAGCTGAGATTAGAAGACAGCTAGAGGACATTGAAAATGTCAAGGTCATGTTGGTAAAAGAGAGGGAACAAATTGATCGGATGAATGCAGAAATACAGACTAAAAGCAAAGAACTAGAGAAAACAATCAGAAAACAGCAAGAGGAGATTAAAATCAAAGAGAATGACATGCAAATAGAAAGAAAGGCTTTGGAGAAAATGAATGTTGAGCTAGAAAGGAAAACCACAGAAATAGAAAACAAGAGGGAGAAAGTAACTCTCTGGGAAGCAAATATACAGAAACAGAAAAATGAGGCAGAAGAGCTAAAGAACATCTTAGAAAGAGAGAAAAGTGAACTTGACAGAGAGAAAGCTGAAGTACAACAAGAAAAACAAGAGATGGAAAAGATTCTGAAAACCACCAAGAGTGAGATGGAAGACTTGAAGCAACTGAGAAATGAAATGGAGGAAGAGAAGAAAGACATGCTGGACAGACTGTCAATGGAAAAACATGAAATGGATCAACTAAAAACTGAGTTACAGTTGGAGAAGGAGAGCGTTGAAGAGGACAAGACGATGTTGAAGCAATTGATGAATGAAATAGAAAATAAAAGATCTCAACTTTACAGTGACACAGAGAAGATGAACATCGACCAACTAAATATTCAAAAAGAGAACGACTCCCTGAAGGAAATCAAGGCTGATTTACTAAGAAAGGCTGAAAAACTTAACGAGGAAATGAGAAAAACAGAACAAACCACCTATCAAATCATCAAAGACAAAGAGGACACTCGAAAGAGTCTGGATGACATCAAGAGAAAGGAAGAAGAGCTCAGAATTGTTCATGCTGACATTGAAAGGCAGACAAAGCTTCTGGAATCTGATCTACTGCTACTTCAGACACAAAAAGAGAGCTTGGAGAAGAGCAAAGAAGTGAATGAGACGCTCAGAGAAGATCTTGAAAAACAAAGAAGAAATAATGACTTGACAATGCAAGAACTGCACAAAGAAAGATTGGCCTTAGAACAGATGATAACTGACATAACACAGCAGAAAGACTCATTGGCAAACACACAGGATGAAATAAGGCTTAAAGAGCATGCACTGAAAAACAAAGAAACAAAACTTGACACACAAAGAAAAGATATGGAAATGAGACAAAATGCTATAAATCAACAGCAGCGGGAGGTTGATGCCTTGATTGCAGAAAACAGAAAAATGAGAAATGATTTAGAGAGCATGAAAGCTCATCTGGAACAAGAGAGAAGGCAACTGCAAGAAAACATAAAAACATTTGAAGACCAGAAGAATGTTCTTGATCAAATCAAGATTGATGCAGCGCAACAGACTGATGAGCTTGAGAAAATCACAACAGATACAAAGAGGGAAAAGGAACATCTTGGAAAGGAAAGAGAAGAGATTGATGCTTTGAAGAAGGACATGCTCATCGTCAATGAAAATATGCAGACAGAACGAGACAAGCTTAATGATGCTATTCAAAAGCACAAAGCAGAGATTGAAAACAGCAAAAAGAGCATTGATAGTGAAAAACGTTGTATCGAAATGGATAGAGCTGCTTTAAACAGACTGAAAGAAGAGGTTGAAGTCAGCAAACAAAGAGTACAGCATGAGAGAACTTTGCTGCAACAAGATAAAGACATGATACAGAAAGAAAAAGAGGACATGGAATCCATTATAGAAGAAAAAAATAGAACAACAGAGGAACTGGATCACCTCAAAGAGCATATAAACAGAAAATTATCCGAACTGGAGACGTTAAAAATGGAGATTAAAGTAAAGAGACAGGAAATTCATTACTTACCAGGAGAGATGAAAACAGAATACTACTCAAAGAAGGATGCTGATGTCCAAAGTGAGGCACAAAAAGCAGATGAAAACCAGAAATATCAACTTAAGACCATTTCAATAGATGCTGAAACGCAAACGGATGACATTAGGAAAATAGATGATAGCGGACAAAGGGTATTAAAAGAAGATACAGCTGCAACAAAGACAGAACAACCAACTGTGACAAAGTTAGAGGACACGCACACATCTGAAGTGCAAGAAATAAGGGAATCTTTAAGTAAAGAAATGGAAGATTTGGAGAGAATGAAGACTATGATGAAAAAGGAGAGAGATGACCTGAAACAAGCTAAGACTGACATTCAAAGGAGGATGGAAGACCTTGAGCGAAATATGGAGGAAACCATGAAGGAAAGGTCAAGAAATGAAGAAAAACTGCTACAACGTACACAAGACAACGAGGATTTATCAAAAGCCCTTGATGAGAAAAATAAAGAAATAGAAAGCATCACAGAAACATTCATGAGAAAGATGGGGCAACTGGAAAAGACTATAGCTGCAATGGAAAAACAGAAGGAAGAATCTGAAAATGAGTTGCTTCGACACAATCAAAATGAAGAGGCGAGACTAAAAATCCAGAGACAGGCTGATGATACCTCCAGAAAGAAAGTCACATTCAAAGACACTAGAGAGGAGAAAAAGACAGACCAAGAAAACAAAGCACAAACCTCTAAAACTGAGGGAGAAGATCTCCAGCTAATGTATGACACAACCCTAGAACAAGATGAACTTAACAACATGCGAGTTGAATTACCGAGGCAACGTGATGAAATGGAGAGTAAAATGAAGATCACACAAACTGGCCTCCTTGAGTTGGAAAAGGCAAAAGAAGACCTGCATAAAGTGAGGGATGAATGTAGAACTGCTGAGCAAGAAAAGTCAGTGGTCTTAGAGAGTCTTGAGAGAAGTAGGAACAGTTTAGAGAAGGTTCAAGCCGAGGTCTTAAGACTTACAGAGGAGATTGAGCATCTCACACAAAGCTGTGAAAGCAAAAGAAGAGAACTGCAACAAACAGAGAGTGGCATACAAAGACAAACGAAGAGGACTCAACAAGAAACTGATATCCAGAGCCAACTAGAAACCAAGTAGTAGAGACTCAAAAAAGGATAATTAAGCACAGGAGAACCCAAGAGACACAAACTGGAGACCAAGAAAGAGATGCTCTACCACACTATGAAGAGATAGGTGTGATGAAAAGGAGAATACAGCAAATGAAAGGTGAACTAGAGAACAAATTACAAGACATCCAGAGAAAGGAACTGGAAAGAATAGGCATGCAAAGAGAAAAACTTGAGTTGGAGCTACGGAAAGCTGAGATAGAAAGATATAATGAAGCCCTCCGGGATCAGAGAGAAACCGACAGACTCAAGCTCATGGAAAAGGAGAAGGAAATACTTATTTTAAGGGAGTGCATGCTGATAGAGATCAATCAACTGAAGAGCAAAGAGACAGAAACAAGTACACAGCGCTTGGAGATGATGGAGCGCCTCGTCGGTGATGCAGCGGTAAGGATGGACCGATTCAGACGGGTTACGGACAGAGCCGTGCAAACCCTGATGTCGGAAGCAGATGGAGAGCAGTTCGGAAGAGCTGAGAGAGTGACGACAGATCTGGTGGAAAGTGTCAGTGGAAGGGTGGAGATTTCTCGGGATGTCCTGAGCGAGGGCAGGGAGGAAGAATCCCAGAGTGGGGGCGTGGCTGGACCAACTTCACGGAGATTGAGGCTATTGCACTGGATCAGACGGTGCTGCTGTTGCTGCTGTCCCAGAAATGCTAGAAACACTGAAGAGGACACAGATGACATTTTATAAACACATGTCTTGTTTATCAAGTCAATCTTCACATGGAATTTGAATGAAAGTGAGAAGTACTTTCTTAAGTACAATGTATTTTTATCTGTATATTATATGCAGTGTTCAGAGGGAGGGGGGTGGTCGGGGCAATAACCTTAAAAAAAATGGAATTCTAGAAAGCATAATAAAGTCATTTAATTACAGCTTATTTGCGTAGTACCAAATGATTAATGTTTATCACAGTTCATATGAACCAAAAATATCAAAGCTTTGCATTTTCAAAACACAACACAGATGTTTGCACAGAGAACCACAATTAATGTCATGTAGATCTGGGATCTGGATCAACTGATGCTGAAATTATCTATTTTGATTTCTTATAGCAAATTACTATAATTATCTAGTGTTTTGTGTTATAATCCCTCATGAATCTTACCAAAAGGAAGTGAAGTGTTTGGTTCTCTTAATTGACAACTCTGGAAATTTCTGCGAAACTATCTGTGAAAATAAAAAGCTCACCTGTTATGTCCAAAGGTCATTATGCATATTCATTTGGGGTCTGAGAAGAGCACTGATAAATGAGAGAATGAATATCCTGTTCTTACGACTGCACCTGTTCGTCTTTGTTATGTTCACATTCTTGCAGCTCTGCATGATGGGAGAGTTGCAGATGTGTCTTGTATAACATGGATACACAGAAGCTGCCTTGAGTGATTCTTTTCACAAGGATCTATAGTATGCCAAAGAACCTCCAATGAACTACACTGGCAGGATAATTACAGTGGCCAATTATTTAGCAACTGAACAAAAAGAGAGCTTTGTGAATTTTTTAACTCAGATTAACGACGAGGCAATCTATTTTTAGATGGTAACACCATCAAGAGTCCATTAAGAGGATCAAACACTCAAATATATTTATTACTTTCAGTGTCTTGGCTTGGATTTGTATTTCACAAACAGTATATTTTGCAATAAATAGCTTTGGACTGAAATAAATAAAAATCAGAATTTACCATTTTTTGTGTTCGTTTTTCTTCAAGATTGTGCCATAGCCGTCTTATTTCAGAAGATTGATATAATGCAGCTCAAACCATTGCATGAATATAGAATTGTACACAGAAAGAAACAACAATCACAGATCAGGCATTAGAACAAACATGGTTCCTTTACTGTATAATGTTGTGACGTTGCTGACGGATTCATATCAAAGTAAAAGAGTGTCCCTATGCCAATTCTCGATTGCAATAATGACCTACAATGGCAACATTTTTCACAAACTCACTAGCAGGAAGGCAGCACAAAATAAAACAGACTAGAACCAAATAGAAAGAGTCATGCAAAGAAAGAAACAGGCACAAGAACATGTTAACATGTCAAGCTGACACTTTTATGATGTATTCTTTTATGACTGGACTGATCTTTTGTTGGTGTCAGATGATTGTGACAGATCGAACCATGACATGAAGGTGGAAAAGAGGCATGGAAATAAATAAATACAACATGTTCAGAAATGTAGTGATTTTTCAGAATAAAATATTTATGTTACAATTTAACACAAGTTAATACATTCTTGTATGTTTTCACATGATATTTCTTAGCATATGTATCATTGCGACGGCTCAAAGGGTGGCATGTATATGGAAGAAGCGATGCAAAAAAAAACAAAGGACACGATTTAGAGATTCTTTCCAGATTTTTTTTTTTAAATAATACTTTTATAGAGATTTACCTTAATTATTGAATAGAAAAGATCTCTTGTTCGCAAGTTTCAAAGTTAAAAAAAAGTTTTAAAGGGACTTCAATACAACTGTATGGCATCAAAAGTAGCAGCATATAATAATAATAATTCATTACATTTATATAGTGCTTTTCTGGACACTCAAAGCGCTTCACATAGGGGGGGGGGGGGGGGGTTGCCAGGGTTGCCGGGGTTACACCCCTACTCTTTCGAAAGACATCCTGGGATTTTTTATGACCACAGAGAGTCAGGACCTCGGTTTAACGTCTCATCCGAAGGACGGCGCTCTTTTGACAGCATAGTGTCCCCATCAATACTGGGGTGTTAGGACCCACACAGACCACAGGTTAGCACCCCCTGCTGGCCTCACTAACACCTTTTCCAGCAGCAACCTGGCTTTCTCAGAAGGTCTCCCATCCAGGTACTAACCAGGCTCAGCCCTGCTTAGCTTTAGTGGGCAACCAGTCTTGGGCTAGAGGGTGATATGGCTGCTGGCTTCTGGCAGCTGGCAGCTGCTGCCAGCCATATCAAGTGCCAGCCATATCAAGTATGAATCAATTACTGCTCAAGCTACTGGAAAAAAATCATGCAAATAAAAGAAAATGATTTTGCACTTTACATTTTTTGTATTCATAAAACATTCAGATTGTGTTGCATAATCTACCACCTACCATTGTGATGGCTCAATTGCATGTAGACAGAAAGAGAAGAAATTAAGAAACAGACAAGAACATGTTCAGAATTTTACAGTGATTTTGCAGTTAAAATCAAGTTCAGGCTACACAGTTTTATGATTTATTCATATACAAAATATTCAGATTTGACCAACTTTTTGTTGGAGATGATCCTTCTACATAATGTGGCAGATGCAAAGTTGATGAAAAGTACACAAATGTAAAATAAATAAATAAAATAAATGTTTTTTAAAAAAAGTAAATAAAAATAAAAAAAAAAAATAAAAAAAAAACGCCACAAACTGGAAATTGAGGTAGGCCTATCTATAATTATTTACGGAGCAAAAAAAAAAAAAAATACTTATACCATAATAATTTATCATTTTTACTAATCCGTTTTCTTGAAAATGGATTACAAAACCGCTGAGGCGTCGCCTCAACAACCCGCTGCAGTGCACCAAACAGTCTCTTTTGGACATAACGTTACCCGGATTGATTCGAAGTATTGATAATACAGAGGAATTTAATGTTACTGATGGGCAGTGCTGGGTAAGTCACACAAAACAACTGTCCACTGCGGGTTACCAATTTCTTAACCCCCTACACACACTTTAAACTAGAGAGTTACCAGCTATTGTGCGCTTAAATGCTAACGTGACATGTAGGCTATTTTTGTGCAGGTATTATTGGTATGTCTGACTAGTATGCGTACAGCGTACATGAGATGAGTCTCATACTCATAAATTGCTCGCCTATGTTGTTAGCAGTGACTTACTGTGGCAGTAAGTTATTTTAGGGGACATTTCAAAGAAACAACTTTTGTTTTTCTCCTCAACTAATTCCAAATAATGCCGCTTCACGTGCTCATCGCGTGCATTAAGCTGCACAGTTCATTCACGTGCAAACAGATACATGCACAAATTAATTTAAATTAATTTAACATCCACATGAATATTTTAGAAATTTCAGCCAAGAGATGATTTGGTACTGTTGTATGTTAATGCAAACTGTATTTATGTTCTAAATGTTTGAATAGTTTTAAAAACTGAAGCAACAGGTTAAATTATATTACATTACCAAAAAAAAAAAAAAAAAAAAAAAAAAAAAATTCAGCCGAAATGTGCACGTATTTAGTTTTATTAGTGGTTTAACTACACTGGTTCAGTCTTATAGTTTCATAATGAAACTTTCTATCCGAACACAAGAGGGCATCCGAGCATCAGAAAAAAAAAAAAAAAAAAACAATTCCAAATAATCTCTTTAGTGCTTGCAGCATTCTGCTATAATATTATGATCATTAACTGATGTTTTCATGTTTTCATTTCCACCCTGTCCTTCACTTGCTCTGCACACATATTCTTTCCTTTATGTGCCAATATTAAATGATAACCTTTTAACCAAACCACAACATAGCAGCTTTAATTAACTCTGCTCAAAGGAATGTCTCTCTAATTGGCATTAAATATTAAATTCCCCTTCCTGTTGTAATGCTGAAAAAAAAAATAGTTTACACCAATATGTGCAATTGACACTGAGCCAAAGAGGTGAGAAGTCATAAATATTGATGGTCCAGAAGTGCTGTGTTGGTTTAATTATCCATATACCTAAATAGATGTTTCTCTTGTCTATACTACAGCCCTGTAAAATAAATAGAGAATTGACAAGGAAACTGAATGCAAAATCTTTTATCGTTATGTATTAGCATCATTAAAAGTGGGATAGAGACAGTGTGCAGTACAGTGCCAGTTTTGTCTTAATGAATGGAGTGACTCAGCTGTGTAGAAGAGGCTCATTAGCAGACTTCAGTCAGGGTCTTGTGCCCCAGGGCACAGTCTCTCATGTACAGCCTCCCCCCTGCTGGCTGAGCCACATTTGGACGTGCTGTAGAACCAAGGGAAGCTATAGACGAAGATATATAGCCGCTAAACCCCAAGCGCGAGACAGTTATGCTCCTTCATGCAGGTCAGTGGATAATCTAATTTAGTGTAATGAATCTAAAATACAAGGAGGAGGTTCATGCGCTGTGTATGTCGCTGAATGTGTACACTCAAACACCCAGAGTTTGTAATACATATGCAATTATTCCTAAGCAGTTGTTCTTGGTGCAGTTGAAACCTGTCATAGTTCATACCGGCACATGTGACAAGATGTTTACTGCAAGCAAACCCAAGCAAAGGTCCCTTTCATACACTTTACTGCCAAGAGCTGTCACACATCACATTCCTGCACAGATATCCAGCGCAGGAAAACACAGGACAGCTCGGTGGACAAGCGTTTCTTTTTTTTTATTATTATGTAAATGTTAAAACATAGCGCTAATTGGTTTTCTGCATGAGTGGCATCTTTGAAGCTAATATCTGCTTGCTGGTTGACATGCTTATATTTAACATAATGGGTTTTCCTATTGCTGTCTGTTTGTGTAATTGGTGTATTGGGTGTGTGTGAGAGACTTAAAGGGATACTCCACCGTTTTTTTCATATTAAACTATGAGTTTATACATACCTCTGTGTCATCTCAGTGCGTCAGACCGCACTTAACTAGCCCAGTTCATTCAATATGGGCCAAGCTGAGAAGCGACCAATCACCTCCACGTTTTCTCTATTTAAATACAGTTACTTGAGTAGTTTAACTTATGGAAGCTTGTTTCCGCCACTGAATAAAAAAAATATAATAAATAATTGTGACTTTTTATCTCACAATTCTGACTTTTTTTCTCAGAATTGCGTGATATAAAGTCGCAATTGCGAGTTATAAAGTCAGAATTGTGTGTTATAAAGTCAGAATTGCGAGATATAAAGTCAGAATTGCGAGATATAAAGTCAGAATTGCGTGATATAAAGTCGCAATTCTGAGAAAAAAAGACAGAAGTGTGACTTTTTTTCTCACAATTGCAAATTTACATCTCGCAATTCTGACTTTCTAACACATAATTGCGAGTTTATATGTCGAAATTCTGACATCTTTTCTCAGAATTGTGAGATATAAACTCGCAATTGCGACTTATTAGGCCAATTCTAAGGAAAAACTTTTTTCCCCTTTTTTCTGACTTTATATCTTGCAATTCTGACTTAATATCTCGCAATTCTGACTTTATATCACTCACGCAATTCTGACTTTATATCTCCCACTTGCGACTTTATATCTCGCAATTCTGACTTTATATCTCGCAATTCGCAATTCTGACTTTATATCTCGCAATTCTGACTTTCCGTCTTGCAATTCTGAGAAATAATGTCAGAATTGCGAGAAGTAAACTCACAATTGTGAGAAAAAAAAGAGTCAGAATTGTGAGATAAAAAGTCGCAATTACCTTTTATATTTTTCATTCTATGGCGGAAACAAGCTTCCATAGTAACTCGACCTAGGACGGTGACACAAAATAAAATGTTGCACTTTTCTAAGCATGTAAAGTGAATAACTATATTGTATGTCGAATACCACATCAAGTGCTTGGGAGCACTTCGACTCGGCGCAGTAATATCATCACTCATGAAAAGTCTTATAAATATCAGTGCTTTCGTGAAAGCTCTTACATGTAAAACACTGTATAAGTCATGAATCCCAAAATTCACCTTCATCACAGTGTAACTGATGGAATA